ATCAAGTTAGCATGTCTTATATACTAGTGAATTGATGCTTAATAATCGTAGTGGTAGTTAAGCCACATACTGATTCTCTATTTTCGTTGTTGCAGGCGTACGAACTTATCCAGATTTTCTGTGAATATTCCCAGTTTCCAAGTACCAATTTCACAGTATGGAAATGACATTTTGAAAAGTCCCTCTCCCTTCTGCTGCAATAAATTATGTTTATCCAAATATATTTTATACTAATAAAATTTCATCAGATATCGCATTTTGAGTATTACTTATTTATATTATTATTCAATTGTAATGCACAAAAGCATTACCATATCTCTGAAATAAAACTATCTGCACTAAGTAGTAATTGTCTGCATAAAATTACAAAATCCATTTATTCGCATATTGTTCTGCACGAAATAATGCAATAGTTTTAATTATAAATTATTTTTAAATGACTATTAAGATTTTTATCAGTTATTTTTAGCTAGTTACTAGGAATAATTTTTTTCGAATTATAATGTATAATGTCTTTATGATTATTAATGTAAAAGTACATTAATTCGTACAGTCCTTACATTGTGCAATTTTTTAATTTTAAAATTCGAAATATCTCGCTTTAAATGTTCTTCACAAATAGCAGTTAAAAAATACAATGTTTTTAACTTTATTTTCCTGAAAACTTTTTTAACGTGAAATATTATATCTTGCTAGTTTAAAATTTATTTATTAGAATCCCAATATTTTCTGTTATCAAATGTTTTAATCGGAAATACTAACTTTATAAGTCCTTTTTTTCCAAATATTGTTCTTTTGTGATTATTTTATGTTACTATTTAAATATTATTATTTAATTACAGTGAACTAAAACACCCCCAAATTATTAAAAATAAAATAACTGCACTAATTAGAAAATATTTACAGGATATTGAAGAATTTGTTTATTCACATACATTTTCATAAAAAAATTATGAAATAATTTTAATACTGATTCATTATTGAATAAATAATTATCAAATTTGCTTTTTAGGCTATTTTCATTGGTTAATTTTAATAATTTCTCATGAATTATTATATTTAAACAAGTTTACTCTAAGTATAATTAGGGTATAATTATAAAAAGAATTAAACTTTTCGCAAATTTTACAGGCTTTTATAATAATTATGCTGTATAATTAACGGTGTAAATAGTTGTAAATGTACCGGCATCCTCAGTGCCGGTACTTTTTTATAAAAATTTTCAGTGCACTTTTAAAATTAAAAATGCATAGTTTTAAATTATTCGAAACTCATTTATTTCCTTATAAAAAGTCATATGAATAAGATTCATTTTATGAATTGATGTGGATTCTCGGGTTCATTGTGAACTTTAATTCCTTAATTGAACCTAAATTTGATTTGAACTTTAATTGAACCTAAATTTGAGTTGAAGTTTAATTGAACCTAAATTTGAAATTCTGATATATGAAGATTTGTTTTAAGAAATGAAAAAATAACATTTAATTTCATGCTACATTATCTCATGTTTTCTGAAACTATATAATCATCACAGAAATTAGATTCATCACTTTTGAGGTATTGGACTGTATTATTAAACTGCACTTCTTTTTGAAAACATACCCGTTTTTCCACTCCGTTTGCAACAAAGTTACTAGTATAGTTTCCCGTTTTAGTTACAAAGTCATTTTCAGGCCTGTTAACAGAATTAAAGTCCCTCTAAGATCCTATTAGTATTAATAACCATTGTGGCATTTACCACGTCCATTGAAAACTTGGTTTCAACGATTAAACCAGAAGCTCTTTAAAATTTGGATTAAAGGAGCACTATAGATATCCATCAGCAAGATTTTGATAAATAATTTATTGCTGCACTTGTTGGATCCTTGGGCATAAAATTGATTTCAATAGTGCAACATTTCTTTCCACCCCTGTCACAACAGCTCATCTTGATACTCTGGTATCTTGTTTCATTCAATTCTCTCTTTAACTTAATGAGTTTCTCAGCACTTTTCTATGGAGCGTGGAAATGCTGCCTGCTCTGAATTGCCTCTCTCAGCCACATAGATTTTTCTAAATTTGTTTTTCACCTTCATTTATTTTCCATTTATATCGTTGGCAACTTTTCGTTTTTTGTCTCACTCTGGCTACCGCAGTTTTTCTAGTTTTGCTTTCTACCTTTATTTATCTTTCATTTTTCCTTTGGTAACTTTACTTTTCTTGTTTTAAATATTTTTATTCTCTTTATTCACGTCTGGCTACTCTCGAAAATAGACGCTTNTTTTATTTTTAATGTCCTTTTGAAAAAGTCGTAATTTAGTTTGAAAACAAAATATACACTGTGAGAGGTCAGATTATATTTAATCTTTCCCCTGCAATTGCAAATTCAGTTTTTGCAAATGTTCCATGACATCAGTTAAAAACATTAAGTCTTGTAACCACTCGTCATCGTTTAATTCTGAATAGGTTATTTCCTTTCATTTTAGAAATACAGTTATCGGATCAAACAAATCTACAAAACAATTTAATACAATTGTAGCTAGATAACCATCTAACAATGTAAAAGAAATTAATGTCATTTGGAAGTTCTTCGTCCTTTAATTCTTCAAGGAAATTTTTGAATTGTCGATGATTTTTTGCATTGGTGGGAATGTAATTTACAATGTGTAACACTGTTTTCATAACATCAGGATATTTGAAATATTTTGTAACGAGATGTTCGCGGTGAATTATGCAGTGAATCGGTATGAATTGCGGAATTTGAGAATCATTTCTTAAAATCCCAATAAGACCGATTCTTTTTACATTGCCGTAGCTCCATCAGTTGCAATGCTTACAAGTTTATTAAGAAGTACATCAAAAGTTTTTATTATGAAATATAATGCATTTTTAATATCGACACCGCGGGTTGACTCTTGAAGTGCTACTAAATCTAATGATTCTTCTTAAACAACGAAGTCAGGTGAAACAAAACGAATGAAAACTGCCAATTGCGGAAGATCTGTGATATCTGTCGCTTCGTCAAGGGCTAAGCTGAATGCAATACAGTTCTTCAAATCCTTTTTTAAATTATATTCAAGAGATGTATTAATTGCAGTTATGCGTTATTCGGTTGTGTGTCTCGAAATGGGAATTAGCAAAACAACTTGGTGCAATGCTGCATTATTTAGATCTAAAACTTAAAGTACATCTTCCAAGTTTTTTTAATAAACTCTCCCTCTCCATACGGGCATTTTGCACTAGCAATATTCCAGGCAATAACTAAACTGGCTTCAGCCACATTATTAGCTTGATTGCAACAGATCATCGAAATTGACTGTTGTTTATTTAAATTTGATTTTAAAGAAGCAAGTTTATCTTTTCTTAATTTGGAATTTGGTGGATACTGATTAGAAAACTGAGGATGATTGGTTTCATAATGTCGACGTAAATTGCTAGCTTTATAATTTCTGATCGTAGAATTACAACTGCCGTAAAAACTGCCAATTGAGGAAGATCTGTGATATCTGTCGATTCGTCAAGGAACGATAATAATTTTGTTAAAATATTATAGCACAAGAAATGAAATAGGAACTCGGGTACATTTATCGAGAGCCACAAATAATCCTTCAAAGAGCGGCATGTGGCTCGCGAGCCACCCCTGATATATATATTATGATTAACTAGGGTGATCTAAAAAAATTGTTTCATTTCTCAAATAACTTAAGAAATATGCTAACTAAGTAGATAATCTGGGCTAGTTCAATCGAAAATAGAATCTTTTCTGGAACATCGTTTCAATATACATAAATTAATATAAAGTCATTTATTTATTTTTCTCTGAAAAATAAAGCTACAGTACTACAATAACAAAAGAAAAATAATAAAAAAAGCGTAAAAAAATAACATTTAGAATTATCATGAACAGTTTTTATTTGCAGAAGATATACTTTTATTTTTGTAGCTTTTTAAGATATAGATTCTTTAAAAGATAATAAATACCATAAAGTTTCATAATATAAACTCAGAATATCCAGAGGGTTTAAAAAGGTATCGTGCATATTGATGAGGCATAGTGCAGGATAGCGCATATTTGATAGTGCAGAATAAAATGCGACAAAAAATTTGAACTCAGATTGATTCAACTTATTAAGCAACAAATAAATTTTATTGACTTATAAATAAGTTTAAATTTTAGAGTAAAAAACCATTCAAATAAATATTTTGAACCATTTTCGTCACATATCTAATTGATGGTTCAACTTCAAAGTAAAAATTCAAAAAACTATTTTCCAAATATTTATTTAAGCATTTAAAAACTTAATTTTATATTCAAGTCAGTTAAAAACTAAAAACGTTTCCTTTCTCACTTTTTCTGAAAAACATATTTGTCAGGAATGAATAATAGTTTTCTCATCCTAACGAAATAATTAGTTCTTCACGAATGCAAATACATTTTTAAAAAATATTTATAGTTCCCTCATAAATGTATTTTCCGACTTTTAATAAATTTTGAAAACTGCGTCGCAGCTAGAAAGTTTTCCAATTGTAAGATATGCTAAAAACGTGAACAAAGAAAATCTTGAAAATATCTTTAACATGTTTACAAAACATGTTAACTTTCAAGTTTATTAAATTTCAAAACATTTAACTTCATCATTATAAACGTTTTTAAATCATCTATCTCGAGTTGACTATTATTTTCTCTGTGAAGCAAAATAATTAACTCGTAATTACGAATGCAATTGCATTTTAAAAAAATTATTTATAACGTTATTCATAGATGTAAGCAATTACTCGTACATTATAACTAGTAACACATTATTCCAATTTCCGATTATTTTATATTTATTATTTCCAATTATTTAATGAATATAAAAATCAGCCGCCTTTAAAAGAACTTTTTCCAATCATAGCATTTGTTAAAAATGGAAACAAAAATTTATTTGTTTAATATATTACTTTAAAACATGTTCTAAAAAACATTTGGAAACATGCTTTAATTTTTAAGTTGATTAAACATCAAAATATTCTTTCCTCACCTTTATTAAAATATCCGTCTGTAATTGTCGTAATTTGTCTTCATAACAAAATAATTGACTCACAATAACGCTTCTACATTTTTTCTTAAAACAGTTGCTTGCAATAATGGTTAACTCCTAAATATGTTTTTCAATTTTTAGTAAATTTGGAAATCAGCTTCAATAATAGGATGTATTCCAATTGTAGCATCTGTTGAAAATGTGAACAAAAAAGAATCGTTCAACTTTCTGCACGTCGTCTGGTTAATGGACAGGTGCCGCTAGTATCGGTGCCAAAATTAAACCTACCCATCCCCTCCTTCCTTTATTTTTTCCATTTTACCGTCTTTTCCAGCGAAGGAATAAATATTGGCTTTTTGCCTAGGTATGTATTCGGCGCATCAACCCCCCACGACGACCAGCGTTTTACGCTATTCTACAGAAATTAATAATTACTGGTTTCTCAAAGCTGTTATTAGAATAATTTTTCCCAGAATAGTAAATGAAATCATTTTTTAATGATGAATTGCTAAATTTAAAAAAAAACTATTCATGTTGAATGTGATGTTAATTATTACAGCGGATGTTTATCAGTTGTAAAAAGATCACATACACCATTTGTTGATTTTTAACATCTAAGTTGTAAAAGTTGGTAATAAATAATGGCAAGCTGTTATAAGAATATTTTTCCCAGAATAGTAAACGAAATCATCTTTTTAATGATGAATTGCTAAATTTAAAAAAAAAAACTATTCATGTTGAATGTGATGTTAACTATTATAGCTGATGTTTATCAGTTGTAAAAAGATCACCATTTGTTAATTTTTAACATCTATGATAAAAGCTGGTAATAAATAATGGCAAGCTGTTATTAGAATATTTTTCCGAGAATAGTAAATGAAATCATTTTTTTAATGATGAATTGCTAAATTAAAAAAAAATATTCTTGTTGAATGCAATGTTAATTATTACAGCTGATGTTTATCAGTTATAAAAAGATCACCATTTGTTGATTTTTAACATCTATGATAAAAGCTGGTAATAAATAATGGCAAGCTGTTATTAGAATATTTTTCCCAGAATAGTAAATGAAATCATTTTTTAATGATGAATTGCTAAATTAAAAAAAAAAACTATTCATGTTGAATGCGATGTTAATTATTACAGCTGATGTTTATCAGTTGTAAAAAGATCACATTCACCATTTGTAGATTTTTAACATCTATGATAAAAGTTGGTAATAAATAATTATTAATGTAATTTGTCTAACATTACTTTTTTTTAACATTTTCTAAAAAAATATATTTATTTTATTTTATGAAAGCCGACCCAATTTTGAGTTCACGACTATTAATGCTAAACTCCGCAGACTTGTAATTTTGAACACAATCAAAAAGATAAGGGAGCTCCTGGATCAAGCATTGAGACAACTAGCCTCCGAGGAGGACTTTTTGATGGAGCTGGCTCGCATTTGCGTTAAATCAAGAGGAAAACCTCCATGGTTAGCCCGACGGCAAGGGGATTCTAACTCATGTTTCGTCTTCTATTGCGGATATTTTACGTCAGCACTGTGGCCGGTGTGAGTCGGAAATAGAATTTGTATCAACCAACCGATGCTGAGATTCGAACCCGGGCTCCCTCATTTGAAGGCGAATGCACTATTCACTGAGTTAACCGCAACTCTAAAAAAATACATTAAAATTACTAAAATATTTCAACTGAATTTACTTTGGTCGATATAGGAAAATAAAAATGGAAAACATTATTAAAAGGCGCAGTATAGCCTACCGAAGGCAGTATGAAATAGCCTTAAAAGGGCAGTATAGCCGATTTCGAACTCTGCACCCTTAAATACTAATTTTTATAGTTTTTTTTTCCAATTACGTTCTAAGAAGTTGCAGTATTCTAGAGTATACGTTAATCAGCAATAAGTTACAGTGATAATATCAAACTGGCATATCAAGATTTTTTAAATGTTCTTAATGGAAATCTAAAAATAAATGAAAAAAATCAATTTGTAGTAATTATCTCTAGGTACACATAATTCCTTGAAACGAAATAAAGTTTTTAAAAAAAAGGCGAAGATCGAAGGAACCACAAACATTATGTTATAATATTTAAATTTCACTTGCAAATATGAATTGATTTTATTCGAATTTAACTCAGCAATTTATAAAAAAAATTTTATTCGATTCGTGAGTGAATTAATGCAGATTTGTTCCTTTTTTACATCTCTAACAAAGACCTCATTGATCGCGACTCTCAACATGCATTCTTAGAATTCTTGTCAACAACAAAAAAAAAGAGTGTATACGTGGTAGCGGTTTCAAATTAATATTTAATCTAGTAAAAAAAATAAGTGCTGTCGAAATCTAACGATATCCTGGACTACATGGATATACATGTGAAACATTGAGATCATTTTTTTCCACTACTGATTAACTCTGGATTAAAAACATTGAAACCAGTTTGATTGCCGAAGAAACAGAAAGGCGTTGAAAAGTTATAATTACAGACTGCTCCGTGTTTCATCAGACATCCAAACTTGTTTTAATGTTTTTCATCCAGCTTTTCACCCTAAAAGTTTAAAGAGAGCCGCGATGGCTCAGGGGATAGAGCGTTCGCCTTCCAATGCGGCGAACCGGGTTCGAATCCCAGTCGATACAAATTCCGCATCCGGCTTGCGCCAACCACAATGCTGACGTGAAATATCCTCAGTGGTAGACGGATCATGGGTTAGAGTCCCCTTGCCGTCAGACTAACCGTGGAAGGTTCTCGCGGTCTTCCTCTCCATGTGACGCAAATGCTGGTAAGTTCCATCAGAAAAAGTCCTCCACGAAGGCAAATTTCTCCCAATACTTGATCTAGGAGTTTCCTTGTCTTCTGGATTGGGTTCAAAATTACAAGTCTACGGAGTTGAACATTAGTAGTCGTAAACCCAAAAATTGGGTCAGCTGTTCAACATCATTTATAAAATATAAAGTATTATAAAATAGTTTGAAAAATTTTGCTACGATACAGTTGCATAAATATTAATTTACAACGATCAGTATTTATATATTTTCTTCTTCATTTTTGGATAAATATTCCAAAAATATAGATTAAGGGTAGTGAATATGTATGCTTTTAAGCACTATCATTTCTAGTTTATTTCTTTGCTAATATGGCAGCAAGCGGAAATTTTTTAAATATTATTGAATTTTCGAAATATTGATATAATATTTCGTCATTCCATTTTTTTCTAACGAAAGCTCTCTCAGTGCCTAATATATCTAACTTTTCTAAGAATCACTTCGTCGAGGGCACTATATAGCTGGGTCAATATCATTTTAATTACACGAGAAAGACAAATAGATCAGAGAGATTAATTGCACCCATGTTCGAAGCGGAATCTTCCAGGTACGAGGCCAACTCCTTGACCACCACATCCGGTCGGATTATTTCGTCTTTTTATTTTCGATCGTCTAGGCTTCATTCTAGTTTCATCATACTAATTAATAATATTCCACAATATACTACGATGAGGTTTCGAGGCGAGGGAACATTTTTATCATACATTTGAGAGCTCCCGTTTCGTCACAAATAACGTGATTTCCTGACGAAATGATTCTCAAAGTTAACGAAATATAGCTCAAGGATTCCTGTGTCGTCAAAAGGGAGAATTTTATTTCTGAGAGTGTATATATTCATGGCATTCCAAACAATAAACAAACGTAATGAAAGTTCTAAAAAATATGAGTATTTTTTTATTTTACACTCACTATAAAAACAGAAACATTATAACTAAGCAGACGTTTATGGTAACACTCAACCAGAAAAGCAAAGTTGGTAATGCAACTTGAAACGATTGAAAATGAGTGAAAGATGGATTCGTTTGACTACCTGAAAACGGTTTGGTTATCCGCAATGGGTATTTCATAATTGCATCTCTTGCTCCCCTCCATGGATGCGGACCTTCAAGCCTGTATTGATACGGAAGACTTGGACCCAATATACAAATCAAAAATAAAACTGGATCAAAAAACATCATTTTCAATAAATTTGGTTTTGCACCATATTCTGATGCGATTGAGTCAATGTACGTTAGGTAATCAACCTCTATTGTGTGTCTTGGTGATTCTACGTATCTCTCTTCCCTAGTTTTCTTTTCCAAACACGTGTTTTCTATCATAGTTTCTACCGGAGGCAGTTTCACTTTGCCTTTAAGAAGCATTGCGAACCATTGACACTGCGAATCTGCTATTGGAAACACTGCTCCATTCGGCTGGCATAATCCTATAAAAGCAAGCGAAGGATGCTGTAAAGACAAAGGAAACATATATTTGTATAAATCTACTTTGTTGTCTTTGAAATCGGCAAAATCCTCCTTTATGAAGGGGAAACTGATGTGGTAACCTGTGGCGAAGACTACTACGTCAACAGGAGTAGCTGACTCTTCGTTGTCAAAAACTACGCCATTTTCTGTGAATCTCTTTATGTTTGGTCTTATAATTATGCGTCCTGACATTATTTTTGATGGCATGTAATCATTTGTAGTTGGATGTTGTCTCAGAAATCGATGTTTCGGCTGCAGGCCATATAATTTGTGATCAAAAGCTACGTTTACGATAGTCTTTTCAAGAATGGAGCTGCAGAGATCATACCCAACAAGAGACAGTATAAAATAAAAGAGTCGACAAGTTAATGAAGGATCAAAGGGGTATCCTAAGGGACCACGCCTGGCCACAACCCAAGTTCCTCTTCTTGTGCTTAAAAATACCTGAAAAATTAAGAGAAACATATTTTTAAAATTTAAACTAGAAAAACTAACAAATATTGATCTGTAATACGATTGCACTATGACGACCACCTTTAAAAATTATTCTCAAAATATTCATCTAAAATGAAAATCGAAATATATGAGCATTAGTGGTTACTGTTTAATATTTAAAGTTTAATTAAGTTTATAATTAATACAATTGCACTGTGACGTCCACCTTTGAAGTACATTTTAGAATTTTTTTCGTTAAAAATGAAGACAGAAATATATGAACAACAGGGGTAGCAATATAATATTTAAGCAAAGAAAAACAAAACAAAAACATTGTTAAAATTTGAAGAATCACTAGTGTGGAAAACGGGAATAACGCATTTTGACTAACTCAATTGCCAAATTTAGTGTTGTCTTTAACAATCACGTTTCAACCCCTCTCAATTTCCTGCGACAACCAAACTGGTCTTAGAAATAACTAATTTCGTCTTATTTGTTAATGATTCGACAAATAATGACTTTTTATTCTTCCTCGTATAAATTTCAATTTTTTTATTTGTATACTTTTTCAGCTTCCTTTTTAAAAACATTCTCAAAATATAAACAATAGGCGATCATTACAGAGCATAACAAAATTCAAATAAACGGATATTTGTTTTAATCATTATTACTCAATTCATTAGTTAAAGAAAAAATACGAATTTAAATTCAAATCAATAATTGAACCGAAATGTTGAAGAAACTTCTACAATAAGGATTTTCATGATAAACTATGTATTTGTCTGTATTAATTTAAATCAATTTTGTGAGACAAAGTATTACAGTTTTGAATTAAACATTCCAAACTCTATCGTCTTTGTAGGCTCTTCCAGTATCTGCTATCTCATTCAATCTTGGTTCACCTTAAGTTTTAATTGTTCCAATTCGGGACGGGATAGCCTGGTTGGTAAGGCGTTAGGCCCTTGTCCATGTGACTGGTGCACGTTAAATCTGCCGGGTCACAAAGGCCTCCATGTTACCATGAAAAATCATACCTCTGATGGTAATGATGGAGATTGGCCGTTCTCTGGTTCAGGTAAAAATCACGATCTGTGGATGAATGAATTTGTCCACCTGATAAATGGGCAGTGACGTGTGTGTGCGGCTGAAGTCGTATTCATGTATAATCAAGAGATTCTTTATTTCCCTAGTATGACTTAGCTTAACGTATTACTAATTTTTTTTTTTTAAATTGCGTAAATTATTATTCAAGACAACCTCACAAAGTGAATAATAATTATAGTGTTGCCAATAGATAAATACCCCGAGCTTATGGTGCCATGTAAAAGAATGTTATTACTATTTTCATTATTATTATTATTATTGTTGTTGTTGAAATTACTAGCAGATTTATGAAAAAAGGAGTATTACCTGCTTCGCTCTTTCGCTCATTTCCACTGCTACGTCTGATCCTGAATTTGCAGCACCAACGACAACCACTCTTAAATCCTTGAAAGCATCACAAGTTTTCAAAGAGTGGGCATGTACAATTTTCCCTCCAAATAATTTTTGCCCCGGAAACTGAGGAAAATTTCTGAGCGCATGATGACCAGTACACACCATGACACCATCGTAATCTTCTTCAACCTCTTCAGCAAATTTTTCACTCATTTCATCGACTTTTCGCACTATGACAGTCCATCTTCCCGTTTCCTGATAGTCTCTGGCTCTAAATACACTCACAACTTGATTATGAAAACGAATAAACGGGCGTATTCGAAAGTGGTCAGCATACATTTCAAGATACTTTAACATCTCAGTGTGGTGCATGTAGTTTGGAAAGTCGGCTGGAGGTGGGAAGTCAGTATAAGCACTCAGTTCTTTGTGACTGTTTACAACAGTGGACTTCATTACTGATGGTTTACCCAATTCATCATCGTCATGATATCGCCAAAGTCCCCCAATATTTCCAGTTTTCTCAAAACAAACGACATCTATGCTCTCTTCTATACAGGCTTTAATTGCAGTTATGCCACAAGGGCCTGCACCAATGACTGCAACTCTCATTTTTAAATCGGCACCTAAAGAATAATACGGTAATATAAATATGGCAATGTAAATTAGCAGAAACATTGAAAAATCAGCCAACAGTTTAAATGGAATTCGATTGTATTATAACCATAAACTCAATTGTCCATAAAATCTGTTACGACCTATACAATGGCGTATAAAGCGGGGAGCAAGGGAGGATATTTGTCCCGGGCTGTCTTAGTGGCGCCAAGATGATGAAAAAAAATTAGAAATGAATTCCAGAGTAAAATGCTTTTTCATTAAAATATCCCGAATTTTATGTGCTAATTGTGGGGCCTTAACCTCAAAATTTTATTTGTTTTACCTAAAAATTTAGCAAGATGTCCATTAATATTGTAAATACATGTAGGTTTCTTATTGTTATTTTAAACAAATTGGTAATATGTTTAATAAAAAACGTCTTCATAAAAAAATATAAAAAACGTAAAAAACAATAAAAAAATAAAAAACATTAAAAAAACAATAAAATGTCTTTAAAAACAATAAACACAATCAAAAGCATATAAGTGTAATAGAAACTATATTATTAACATACGCTGTTAATTTTTAAACCGAATCAGGTGAAAGTTATTCAGTTACGTTGTCTTAAAAATCATTGCATACAGTAGCAGTAATAAAAAAATAAAAAAATGCCAAGTGCAATTGACTTAAAGTATTTACAATATCTCAAACTTATAATTGTTCGGAAAAGCCCTTTTTTTTAAGTCCTACACCATCTTCTAAGGGGCTCAAAAACAGAGTTCGGAGCTGTGAACCTTGGCTACGACTCTCGACCTATATAAGAGCTTAAAAGGCTAAGTATTATTTTAGCAGGAAATTTAAAAATAAATAAATGAAAAAAACTGTAGAGTTTTTTAATTTCAGTTTTAAAAAAATTTGAAATATAGTTGAAATTATTTATCAAAACAAAATGTATAGTATTGAAAAATGTATCAACTGCATAACAATAAAAAAATTTTAAATATTCGTGCAAAAGAATTATTCAAGTGTCTAAGTATTATTCGATTTCAAGCTGCACATGCTTTGTACTCATTTTGCGAAACATGCAAGCAAAAAACAATCCTTGCATGTAATATGCGTATGAAATTTCCAGTTTTCGAAAAAAACAATTCGTGTTGTGTATATACGTATTTTGTTTCTTTCCTTTATTCTTCAAAGGTTTAAACAAATATCGTTCAGATATCTTCGATATCTTGACATTGTTCGTGCTTGTCAAGTATTTGTTGTGACTATTTTCGAATTATTTGCCGATACATAAATTTTAAAGATTTGTCGATATCGCATAGACTAACATCCTTCTATTTTCTTACAACAAAATTATTTTATAAGAAATTGAGTTGTTTTTACGTTTGTAATTTTTAAGTATATTAAAACAATATTGAAATTAAAACAAATAAATTTAATCAATATATTTTTACCGGTATTTTCACTGCTTGTTTGACGTTTAATAAAGGTATGAAATTTAAAAATTTAAGTTCCTCATTCTTGTGACATTTTCATTAATCCTTGATCTACTAACAGCATAAAAACAGTAAAAAACTTTTAACTTTACTTTTTAACTTTCAAAGCAGACCAGCCAACAAAACACTGATCCAAAGCAGTGGATACAGAACCAACAGCAATCGTTTATGCAAGATATGTCTTGTACATAAGAGCATTCCGTAATTGCTACAAAACATAACCAACAGCAATCGTTTATACAAGATATGTCTTGTACATAAGAGCATTCCGTAATTGCTACAAAACATAACCAACAGCAATCGTTTATGCAAGATATGTCTTGTACATAAGAGCATTCCGTAATCGCTGTCCTTTATATATAGTTTTAGAATTCATGTTAAAATGAAGAAAAACTATTTTGACTATTAAAGACAACAAATTATTGATTAAGATAAAAAGGCACAAAAATTACCACTAGTGAGGAAAATGAGATGAAATTATCATTATCGAAACTTTTTGGGTGTTTTCATGAAACCTGGAGGTCGTATTTCTAATATCGTCTTCCAACTCTTTTTTATTTCGATTGAAAATCAATCAGGTTTTTGATAGTTTAATTCCGCCTTCCTCAGTAGTGATTGATTAACTCTGATTGTGTTTTTCCCCGCTTAAAAAGTGTGCAGAAGGCGAATATCTATATGTTTGTATAATATCCATAATAGTGGTAGGTCAGTACCTTAACTACTATGCATCACGACTCACCTTCGTGTATAAGTCTATTTATAAAATACCTATGACGCTTGTTAAACTATATTAAAACTTAGATTTTTGAGATTCGATAAAAAAAAATTTTTTTTTAGAAGTAACAGCTGTGTGGGTTCATTTCAATAACAGAAGCTCTATTTTAAAGACGAATCCATTTTTTTTTTATTTCAACTTAAAATGCAATTACACTAGGATCTCCAATTCTTACGCTGCAGTAACTATATTGAAAATAAAAATATTAAAATCTTCTACGAAGAGTTCAATTTATTTTTCTAAAATAATACATTTAAAACCCGTAAAACATCCAATTGCAAATTATGATTTTTAAAAATACAGTTTAAAAGAATAATTGTATTTGCGTTTATTGGATTTTTGTTCTTCCAATGTACAATTTATTTCTCTCAACGTTTAATAACATTGATCAAGTATGAATTGGATAGCCAAATTTAGCTTTCAAAAATTATTTAAAGTTCGCAAGAAATAAAAGCAAATCAATGCAATTTTGAATACTTATGATTATACTTGTATCATTAATCAATAATAATTATTCGCGGATTTAGTTACTTTTTTTTAAACTTTACCAGTAAATTATGCAATTTAACTTGATATTTTTTTAGTTGATGTAAAGAATCTCAGATCATGACCAAGAATGACATATTCTCAGAAAAAATACTTACCAAGTCTTTTTAGCTTGATTTTGTTATATAGAGCCCTTTTTGACACCTTTCTTTTGTTTTAAATTTTCAGTCTTATTATGCAGCCAATTATTTTACAAAAATTAAATTCTTTAATTTTAATATTCGAATTCAAATGTTAAATTTTCCCACTTTCGAAAGAAAAAGTCTGCCAAAATTTAAAATTAAAGGAATTTAAAAAAAAAATACTTTTTGAAATTTATTTATATTTTCGAAGAAAAGATACCTCAAAATTAATCATTTTAACATGGATTGAAATTAACAACATCTGGCACCTTTTAAGACGATATGGGAAAAAATAAAAACTCTACACCATTTAAATATTTCTTTCTTTAAATCTATAACAATATTTACATATAAATATAAAATCTAATGAGAAAAATTAGCACTTAATACATTAAAGTTAAATTTTCCCACTTTTGAAAGAAAATGCTTGGCAAAATGTAGAATAAAGGAAATTTGAAAAAAAAAACTTTTTGAAATTTATTCATATTTTCGAAGAAAAGATACATCAAAATTAATCATTTTAAAATGGGCTTGAAAATAACAGCATCTAGCTCCTTTTAAGACGATATATTGGAAAAAACAAAAACTCTATACTATCTAAATATTTCTTTCTTTAAATCTATAACAATACTTACACATAAATATAAAAATCTACTGAGAAAAATTAGAAAAGTAAATTAATACCTCAACTCCAAGTCTAAACGATCGTCAATGTCTCAAGTTATTAAGCTTAATGCTTCATAATGTTACAAAAAGTCAACTATATTTTCCTTAAGAACAATTAATGTTATTAACTTGTCACATTAAATTTATTCCAAAGTTACCGTATCGTATACGGAAATCTTGCAATGTCAACGACGTCAATGTTATAACACAAAACACAATAGATTTGGCGAGTTTTGTCTCTTTAATTTTCATTCCTTCTTCGATTTAAAATACTCAACACGATTTCGGTGGGTATCTGTGGAAATTCCAATTACTTTGGTATAATTGCTAACTGCACGATGACATAATTTAAGTCATTCATTCGCTTTAAAGATAATATGTACTACAAGTCATTTTAAAGGACGTTTACAGTAATACTCATAAAATCCTATTCGCAAGTCTTGACAAGAATTTTAAAAAATAATAATGAAATTCGAGTGATTCATTTTTGATTTCCACTTTTTCTTTTTGAAAGAATCCTCGAAACTACTTTTAAATGAAGAAGGGCATTCGAATAGTAGAAACATAGTGTGATTTGAAATTTCAATAATTTTTTTTCTATTTATATAATTCTTTTAATTCCATTTTTTAAGGGCAATGTATAATTTTAGCTAAATTTCCTAGATTTAGAAAAATATTTTACATTGAAAATAATTTTTGAAATTATTTTGTTTTATGTAGTCTGAAAGTCAACATCACAAGGCAGCAATCGATGTAAATGTGCCCAGAAGTCAATTCAATATTCAAATATGTTCTTTCGACATTCAGTCAAATGACCTTATTTAATACTGTAGTGGCTCAATTTTGTATGAAATGATACTTAAAACTTCAAACTATTAAAGTCAACACTTTAGCATTAGTTTAAAGTGTGCAAAAACAACTGTACACGATAAATAACGTTTAATCTAATGATCGAATTTTTGTGTACTATAAGAACGAAATTGGTCAAATAGATCTCGAGAAACCAAATTTTAAGTAAATGACTTTTAAAAATTACTCAGAAACTATTCTACTGATTTCATTTACTTTTTATAGTTTGTCTTTTAAAATTACATTCTTAAAAATAATGTGCACATTTGTAAATCTCACAATTCGAAATTTTTTCTTCTCTTATTAAATAAAATAATAAAAAAGTAATAAATAGTTATAAAATTTTTTTTATAGAATTATCTTTGAGTAAATTAATTTATTTTTTAGTTGTGGGCAAAAATTTTTCAAATCACTTTAAGTATTCTCTAGACATAAAGAAATATTTAAGTACCGAACTTAAAATCAAAAGAAATGCAACATATTAAACGAAAAATTCCCCAAAAACAGAAGAAACTGTAACGGTAAAATATTACTTGCAATAAATTATTATTGGTTTTAAAATTTTGCAGGTGGAAATAAAAGTCAACATGCTTCAAGCGCCCAAAAATAGGCCCCCATTCTCAAGACTTGCCAGACGGGAATGAGAAGAAGATTTCTTTTCTTTTTTTTAATCAAGGGCAATATAGTTTCAACTTTTAAAATGAATTGCGGGACATTATGAATCTCAGAAGTGGCACTTTTAAATTAGCTAATATTTTACTAAAAATAAAATTAAAAATATAATAATAATTTAAAACAAAAAATAAATGTAAAAAATCTCGTATAGACGAAACGTTTCACTTACTTGTTTATCACTTGTTTTGCTGAAAAGCAATGTAATAAAAATTAATTTTCTCGAAATCATTAAGATGTGAAATTTGTATAGATTGTAGACACATATCGGTGTATCAATTCTAAAGATTTCTCAAAAGTACCTTTGTGCCAAATAAAGCTATTCAAAAATAGTTTTATTCAATTTTGGTAAAACACTTAAGAAGATACTACATTGGAGGAACTTTTCACGGCAAATTCTGTTTTACCACTATTGGTAATTTAAAATTTAAAGCTTTTGAGAAAAGCGAGTTCAGGCAAACCTAGTGTAAACCAAGAAGTCTCAATTGCTGAAAAAAAATATTCTTAAAACAATAAAATGATAACAAATTATTGCATTATTACTCTTCCACTGAGTTTTCCTGAGTAACTCTGCACACTATAAAATTTCAACAACAAAAAAATTGCGGTGTGGAGATTCAGTACTTTGCATCATCCGTAAAATCCATTTTATCCGTAAAATATTATACTTTAATTTTTACGGTAATATTTATTTAATTAAAGTGATTTTACGAAAATTATTACTGTAAAAATTGGGGTTTATAAGATTTTTTGTTCCGTAACATGTTCCAGTAAAAATGGAATTAACATTCAAAGGCACTCTAAATGCCGATACTCTTTACTGTGATTTGATCCAAAATTTTCAACAGTGTGCCATAGTTTGTTTGCATTTTGTAACAAGCACTCGTAAAATTCATTGTACCGTAAAATAATACTTAAAGCCCTTAATTCTTATCGTAATATTTGTTTAATTAGAGAGATTGAGTGATTTTACGGTAATTATTAAAGTAAAACTTGCGGTACATTAGATTTTTTGCTCCGTGCCATGTTTCAGTAAAAATGAATTTGACAATCAAAAGCATCTTTTTTTACCGTAATTTGGTTCAAAATTTTTTTACAGTGTGCCATAATTTGTTTGCTTTTTGATATTTTGGAAAGGAAAAGAAAAAAAAGAATACACTACTTGAAACTTCGTGGTTTACTGTAGATTCAAATGAATTTTCTTTTTCTAAATTTTAAAATTATTTATGTAGATGAAAAAGAATTTGCCAAGAAAGCAGAAAAGAATTTGCACTGTCAATTCCAAGATACGTATCGTGGAATTATCCTGATATACTTAAGTATATTCTTCGAAATCATTCCTACGCAATTGATGGAAATATTGATAGTTTGTGCAATAGTTAATGACTGTTAAACTCAGGGTCGTTTAAACAAAGGTAATATGTTATTTAAGCATAATCTTTGTCTGACAACGATTAATTTTACTGATAAGTTTAACTTTCAGGAAATTGTAACTGAAAAGATCAAAAAATTTAATATTATTCCTTATAATTATCTTGTGCAATGAGTTAATTGTGTTTGACCTTGACCATGAAAATAACTCTTACCCATAAGGACCTTATTAGATTGCATTTCAATTAAATAAAAACTCGTGAACTTACATCGCATTTTAATTAATCCTTTGACGCATAATTTTTATTCAGCGTATTTTTTTAAAAAACTTTTTTTATAATTTTGTAATAATTTAGACCAAAATGTGCGAAAAATATTATATTCAGTATTTCAATTATTTATTGTTATGAAACATAGTCTGAAACATCTGTGTCTTTTTCTGTGTTAACTGTGAAATCCTCCAAACACAGCTAACTTCCAAACATTAATTTTTGAAATTATCACTTATTTGTAGTTATTTATATCTTATAGAAACAGTTATCCATCATTGAAATTTCCTAAATTTACCAAATCAATTATTGATGAATTTTTGAATATGAATGGCAATTTATACTGCAAATATAATTCTGATAATCTAACAGATCAGTAACTATTAGACAGTTTTTTGATGATTAAAAAATAGCAAAATATATTTTACTAGTAATTTGTAATTAAAAACGTCAAAAAAAATCTACAAAACGGACATCACCGTTGTCCCATCTGCGTCAAAGGTATAACACAAATCTAAAATTTAAACATTATATAACATATTATAAATTTTACTTTAACGCGTTAAACTTATAAAAAAAGTTAAAATTAAAACAAAACTTATGTTTAAGCAGATAAATGAAGGGGAAAAAAAGCATAGGAAATAAAAGTAACCGTAAAATTGAAATCTTTGTGAAAGAATTTTTGTTTCAGGAACATGGGTTACTTAGGAGAATTGATACTTGACGGGCTTGGGTTACTCGAAATAGAATTGAAAGAACAGTTGCTAACGTAAACAACAACCAATCAGTATCGGGATACCCTCACTACTTCACTTGCAAGTATCCCATATTAAATTATGAGTTTAGCGAACCTTAATTAGGTATTTCCTTTTTCTAAAGATATCGCCATCTTTTTTTTTTTCTCTCTTTTAACTTTTTGTTACGATGCTGTTTCTATGATAGCGCAATGTTGAAACAATGAGAAAAAAAAACGTTTATAAATATTGCATGCTGGGTCAGACAAAAGGTTAGGAGCCCAGTAGAACGCACTTGAATTTGGGGCCCCTTGGAAGAATGAAATATCCCTAATTTTTTTGGAAATGCTAATAAAGAGTTATTAAGTATTTCGCTTAGTAGTTTCATTTGTAAAATTTATAAGAAATTTTAAACATTCTTTAATGAGCTAAATATATAATATTTTAATAATAATAATTAAATAATAATTAATAATTTAAAAAATGATAATTAAATATTTTAGAATTTATAGTAAAAATTTAAAAAAGTAGTTTTATTAGACGTTAATTTAAATATGTCCAATGAAATATATCACGGAAAACTAGTTTGTTATGTTTCCAAAAATATTTTTTCTCAACCCTAGACTGTCAAAACACTTTCAAACTTCGTTTAGTAACCCAAAAAGCTTCTTAACGCGTTTTGTTTTTACTCAATCAATTTTTAAATTCCCTGAAACAAAAATGCTTGTTATAAATTTTTCACTGAGAGCTGCATTTCAACTTTTAAGAACTGATGCGTGAAAAAAAACTTTTTGCAACAAAAAAAAAGCACAGACAATAAAACCAATGATCTTCCGAATCAGCAAAAAATATTGAAATGCATATATTACTATAAGTGCTATGAAATGTCATCATTTACGTTACTACTTTTCATTGCATAACAAATTTGAAATCAGCAAATGGCAGTTGATTTAGCTCAACTTATATCCTTATTTCGAAATGTTGCAGCAATTTTAAAATAGAGCTTAGATATTACCAACAAGTCTAAGGACGTGTGTCAAAATATTTAAAAATATATATGTTAATACGTATATATTTATCATTTTTAAATTTTTTTTATTTGTCCTTGTCCTCTATATGGTTAGCAAAGGTGTAGCTAAAATCGATGATGATGCAAATAATATATGAGGCGTGTTTAAAAAAAACTCGTGTTGCCTACATGTAGTATATACTATTGTCTATTTCGGTTACAGGCATTGCTCTCCTTTTTTTTTAAATTTTTATTATTTTTTTTTCCAATGCCCACCTGGAGAATGACCTAGGTCATACAGGTATCTGAAGGACAGATTTATTGACCACTCTTTCATGGGCACTATATTAGGTGGGTCAACGTTGCTCCCACAGTAAGACAGATAGTACAGAGAAGGAAAGAACATCCATGCCTTGCCAGGGATTCGAACCCAGAACCTTTCTGATGCAAGGGTAGTTCCCTAACCCCTACACACAGGCCGGTCAGCTTATTAATTATTATCAATAGCTGCGTTTGAGGGGGTCCTTCAGGACATTTTAATGATTCTTAACAATTTTTTGGTTCAAAGGAGAAAATTGATATTAATATCAAGTAAAAGGTAAATTGTCAAAATTTCTAAAAACATATGCATGTGCTAAAAATATTTATGAAACATTTTTAAAAAAAAGTTTATTTTGTCCATATCCTGTATATAATGAGCACAGATGTCGCTAAAATCGATGATAATGCAAATATGATATGAGGCTGGTCAAAAAATTCTGTATAGCCTATATTTAATGTAAACTGTTTTTTAATTCATTTTAATAGCTGCTTTTGAGGGGGCCATTTGGAGGACTCTTTAATTAATTCGCAATCACAACGCTCGAATACGTCATCTGGGGAGAAAACCGATTTCATGTCTTGACCCTTCCCTCTCCTCTCAGTTGAATGTTAACGATATTCATCCCTTTCTTAATATTTTTCGTATTTAATTGTCAAAAGTATTTTATAAAAATTTCCACGACGTTTTCTTTTATAACTATGTTAAATGTAGTTTTCAGTTCCATATAGTTTCCTAACTTAAAAGTTTTTAATCTATTTGAAAATCAAGACAGAAACAAACGTACTTCCTTCTCCTATGACTCTCCAGACGCTGATGGTAAAAGCATGCGAAGTGTCGATATAAGTAAACAATTCTGCTCTACGCCACCTGTAGCCTATTTCGATAGGCAATTTTTAAAATTTTTTGGATAAAAGGAGAACTTTGATATTAAAATCAAGTCAAAGGATAGGTGCAAAATTTCTAAAAACATATACATATGCTAAAATATAATTATGAAATTTCTATTTTGTCCTTGCCACTCTGTATATATAGATAGGACAGGTGCCGCAAAATTGATGTTGCTAATATGATACGAAAGGAATTAAAAATTTTGTGAGGTCTGCATTCAATGTATACAATTGTCTTTTTCTTTAATAAGCATTGCTTTCCTTTGTTTTCTAATTTTTATTAATATCTGCGTTTGAAGAGGTCATTTGGCAGACATTTTAATTATTTTTTATATTCTTTTGGCTCAAAAGATAAATTTCATATTAATATCAGGTCAAACCAAAGGTATCAATATTTCTAAGGTGTCGCTAAAATCGATGAGGATACAATTATGATATGAGGCGGTTTAAAAAATTCTGTGCAGTCTACATTTAATGTATACTATGGTCTACTTCTTTAATATGCATTTCTCTTCGTTTTCTAATTATTATTAATAGCTGTATATGAGGGGGACATTTGGCGGATATTTTAATTATTTTTTATAGTTCTTTTGATTCAAATTAGAGTTTTGATATTAACATCGAGTCGAAGGATAGGTGTAAAAAATTTTAAAAACGTATATATATGTTAAAAAAAATTTATATAACATTTTTAAGGAAAATTATATTTTGTCCTTGTCTTCCTTATATTTAGACCAGATGTCGCTTAAATCGATTATGATGCAAATATGATATGAGGAGGGTGAAAAAAATTCTACATAGCCTATATTTAATGAATCTTATCGTCTTTTTCGGGTTAAAGGCATTGTTCTCCTTTGTTTTTTTATTTAGTATAACCGGGGATGGATGGTCGATACGGCTTCTGCACCCTACTCGCACCGACCACAATGCTGACGTAAAATGTTATCATTGATAGACCGATCATGCGGTAGAGTCCCCTTGCAGTCAGGCTAACCGTTGGAAGTTTTCATTGTTTTCCTTTCCATGTAACGCAAATACGAGTAAGTTCCATCAAGAGTCCTCCACGAAGGGAAATTTCTTCCAATGCTTGTCCCAGGAGTTCCTTTGTTTTCTGGATTGAGTTTAAAATTACAAGGCTACGGAGTTGAACAATTGTAGTCGTGAACCCAAAATTTGTTCAGTTGTTCAGCGACGATTATAAAATTATGAATGGCTGCGTTTGAGGGGATGACGGACTCTTTCTTCGTGGCTTTAAGGGGTGGCCTAAAATAGACCAATTAATTAGAGCAGACAATATTTTAAGTTACGAAATCAAACTCAAAAGTGTACTTTTCCTAAATAAATATACTTTTTTTTGACGGATTCGGTTTTATCACCCACAAAATAAGGTAGGGGGGAACCACAATCTGGAAGATATGTCCCCATAATTTCGGTCAAGAGAGAGGTTCAAAGTTTGAACCCCTTAATGATAATTTTACTTTTTTTGAATTTCAACGTATCTCGAAAAATTTTTAAGTGAACCGAAAATCTTTTTTCACACAATTGTAAATTCATTTATCCAAAAAAATAATTTTTAATACTTGCTTATTACTGAAATAAATTTTATTTTAATAATCATTAATTATCGAAATTTTTAAAAGTCATATATAATTCAAAATTTGATATCTCGTGAACTATACGGGCAATTTTGTTCAAATTTGTATTTTGCTTTATAAAATTACATTTTTCAAAATAGTGTAAAAATTTGTATATCTTTCAATTCAAAATTTTATCACGACTATTAAGTAAAATAATGAAAATTTTTGCATCTTCGGATAATGAACTTTATAAAGATGTGTAAAAAAAATTTGAATCTGCTTAAATTCTCGAGCTATGGTGAAATACTCAAACGGTAAAATAAACATTAAAATGTTCAAACTTTGGTCTGCTCTCCTGATCAAACTATTGAAACCATATTTCCCTGATTGCAGCTACACCCTCCACCCTTACAAAAAAATTTGGAGAAAAATATTGCATATAACGGTTTATAAGTTGACTAGTACGATAAACTGCCAAATTATAAATTGAAATTTTTTTGTATTTCTTTCAAGCAAGTTACTTGAACTCAAATTGCGCGGGGAAGGCAAGCCTAGACAAGCCATAGCCAACGGCTAAAACGTAGCCGATAACGATGCAAATTTATCCGAACGATTATGAATTCTTCGTCATGCTAACCGATCTAGTTCAGCTTTGGTCCCATGATCTACTTTCAACGTTTATTCCAGTTTCATTCGAAATGTTAGAAAATTTGATGTGTTGTTTGTGTATGGCATCATTCTTTTTCAGTTTAAAAAGTTTTAATTCTGTTCTGTTATTTGCATGTTTTTTCTCGCCAGTTATTGTTTTTAAACTACGTTTTCCTTCTTGTCCAAATTTGTTCTGAGGCTTAAGAACGCCCTTGTGCAAATTTTGTTGGTTGCTGTTCTAATTTTAATACCTTTTTTTTCCAAATTGAAAATAGATATAAACTGTAAGTATTTACTGATTGTTATTTATTTTTGCTCTGATAACATTGAAACTTTGTTGCTAAAAGTTAAACCTGAAATAGCTTGCATAATTGATTTTGTATCCGCAATTGCTTTTATTTTATAATCCATTTAACAAATTTGAGAACACGCTAATAAATTACGATTTCTCTCTTAAAAAGAGTGATTGTTCGTTTCTGAATTAGGTTTATTAATTTTACTATGCTGATTTTGAGTGTTTCTGATAACAGATTTAAAACGATTTAACTTTAAAACAACTTTTCAATTGTAGAAATTTGTCTCCAAAATTAAGGACGACATTTAATTTAATGATAAGCTTTCAAGTTGCTGTATGTTTTGGAACAAATTTCGTAATTATTTTGGCCAAATAACACAGCCTTGATGAACTTGGTAAAGAGTAAAATAAACATCTCTTAAACTTCTTATTCCAAAAAATAAAATAATTGCTCAAAGAAATTTAATGCATTTAGTAATATTTACTTTCATCCATATCCCCCATGGGGAATCATATTAATCCCATATTTTTCAAATTTACATTTTTGAATGGTATAAATAAATTAGAATATTTGCAATAATTCAGCAGCTTTTTTTAAAAAAAAAATTTCCAGACACTTTTTCTTTCTTGACGCCCTGTAGCTTTATGGTTGAGGTTCAGGGTTGACCCATCATTTCAGTGGTTCGATAAATAGCAAGCATGCTTAGGGACTTAACACTGGAGGTTCTGCTGACCATCCAACCTGATCATCTGCCTCTGCACCTCTAGAGTCCAAGATCAAGAGAACTCAGGTGGGCACAGTACGCCTTGGTCCTTCATGGGCTGTTGTGCCACTGAGTTTAGCTTATTTTTTCAGAAATGATAGTCAATCCCTTGAACTTCAGCACATTAGCTCCACATTTCTTTAAATATTTTCTACTCGTCATTGGCTTCATTGTTGAAAAGAACTGATAAGAACTCAAATATGGGTATATGAAAGAGCATATTTAAAACAACTGACTGATAGATAGCTTTACGTGATAAGCTTAATACGAGTTTTAAACTTTTGGCATTATGGGCATAAAGCAGCTTACAGCGTGCTAGAAAGATGCGATAAAATATATTTAATTAAACTATGATAATAAGCACAAATATAATATTTTATCATTAAGTATCTTTTTGAAGTATTCTTTAATTTGTAAAATAACTAAATTGCCTTCATTTTATTAGTAAATTATGTACCCCTTAAGATCGTAGAGATGAGGATTTCTTATTTGTTCTATGATTAGATTTTTTTCAGAAGTTATATTATTGTCAATGGCATCCTGCTCTACTCAACAGCAAACAGCATCATCAATTAAGGCGTTTCAATTTCCTGTTGTAAGTTCGATTTCACATATTTTTTATCATTTCTAGAAAAATTATTTTAATTTTATGGGCAACCAATAATTCCAAATATTTTTTTGATTAAGAGAAATGATGTGTTAATAATATTATACTCATTAAAAAATATAATGTATTTTAAGATTTTAATTTTAGAAATAATATAAATTTATTCAAACTAATTTATTTAAAATCTTTTAATTTTTCTTAAAATAATATTGATTTTTTATTATATATTTAAATGTATAATGATTACAAACTATCCTTTGAGTAAATAAATAGTTCATATTTATTAATAATTGAGTACTTTGTGACTTGAAAAATTTTCCTAATTTGTTATTAATTTGCACCAAAAAAAAAAAGTCATATTGTTTGGAAAAATTTTTGTTACCAATTTCTTAATATTTATATACTTTCTGTTCCATTTTAGTCAGTCAATAAATTGTGGAATTAATAATTAGCTATGACTTGTTTATTCTAATCATTTTGTTTTACTAAAAGATTGAAAATAAACATAATATTTTTAATTGGGATATTCCTGTATCATGATCTGTTGCGCCAACTACAATCTCCAAGGTGTCGAATAGATTTTAAGCTTGCAACACTCCCCGAAAGTTTCCAAGACTTGGCGATAATTCTGCCGCAGATCAGGATAGGGAAATCCCCCCTTTTTAACAATAAGAAATATATTTTAGAAATGAACTAACCTTGGCGAAATAATGTTCTTGTGTTCTTACTCACTTATGCATAGAATATCAATGTTTTTTAATTATTAAATGAAAATAAAATTTAATGTAGGTTTGGAAAAATATTAGTTTTGTATTTCTTCTTCTTTTATTTAAATCTGTGCTTTGTGGACTTAAATTACAACGAAGTGTTTATAATTTTCCTTGTGTAATTATCTTTTTATAAAGCTTCAGTTTGTCTGAAATACTCTTTTTGTTGAGGGATATAAAATAGGTGGTTATAGGAGCTTTATATGTATTAAAGCTAGCGGAGATTTCTACAAATTGTCAATAAACCACTAAACTCTGTTAAGGTTTTCAGAAATGTTAAATCTGTTAAAAAATATTTAAATGTGCTCTAATAGCATTGAAATTAATTTTAAGAAAATTATCAATGTACTTTTTTCATGCTCAAAGCTGCAAAATATTATCAATTCTATTATTTTTGTTCTTTGAATTTCTGTTCTGCTTTGTTATTGCTAGAATGATAATGGCATTTTATATGTTTGATTTTTGTTATATTATTTTAACGGAAGGAATATATTGCAGATTGTTGCCAAAAGACTATTATCTTTGCTTCAAACTGTTAAGAAAGTGAATATGGTTACTACTCTTGGTGAGGTAAGAGACTTAACGATTTTTATAAGAATAATAGACCATATATGTATTTATGAAAATGAAAGAATAAAAATCTGATTGATAAAATTAGTCAAAGTATAACAAAGTAATAATGAAATAATATATGATTGCTATTTATGTATATGATTTAATTATATTTTAACTATGTCATTTTAACCAAAGTGAAAAAAATATACTTCTGGGTTTGTTGGTTATTTTTAGACAGGGGTGCAAAATACGGTAGGTTGCCGGAACAAGGTTCTGGAGAGATTCGGGCAGCCCTTGGAAAAATTTTATTAAAAAGAAGTTTATTGCTTTACAAAGTCTTCCTTGTAAAAACTTTATAGCCCGTTTCTTTCCAAAAAGTTTATATTATGGCTAGTGTGATGGTTAATATATTATATATCTCCCATGTCATGAAATACAGTGCATACGACAAATAGACATGCTGAGTATCAAACTAACGAATTGATCTTTGAGAAGATTATTCCACTCAGCAAGCAATGATCTTTGAAGTTCCGGTACACATGTAGGAGGTAGTTACTGAGTTGTAACTTGTCAGCCAAGCATGTCCCACATATTCTATGGGATTCAAGTTTGGTGAGAATGTTGCCCATTCCTTACGGATATTATCTTCACATAACTTTTTTGAGTAAAGGGCCACAGTGTTTTCACTACAGCGCGAGAATCTCGCATATTTTTTTCTTTTCTCGCATTAAAAAATGATTACCGCGAGAAATTCGCGCATTCTATAAATCAATTTCAAAATTCGCGAATTTCTCGCATTTCGGAAAAAGCTTCGAATTACGCCATTTAGAATAAAATCCGTTTCACTTTTCTTACTGGATCTTTCATTATTTTCAACATCTGCCCCATTATCTAGCTTCCCTATTTACCAGTATTGTTCAGAACCTTTTCGAACAACAGAACACAACCACGGAACCCCTTTCAAAATACATTTCTCTGCAACCACGCGTTTACCGTAGGTAAGGTTTCTTCATGTAAGACGTTCAAATTTTTTATGCACTTATGCAAGATAAACAAATACCTTGTAAAGGCAAAATCTTCTCTGATGATGCATCAAAAATATTCAATACTTGAAAAAATTAGAAGACGTTAAAAATGTATTGCAGTGTTTTCATCTCAGAAAAAAAATGGGTGAGAATTTCTCACCCTTTCTCAAAAACAGGGTGAGATTTCAAAAAGTTAAGTGAGATTTCAAAAATTGAAAAAAAAAAAAAAAACATCAAGAGACTTGAAAAAAATTTATTTCTTTTATTATAATGCAATTTTAACATCTTCTAATTTTTAAACCATTGAATATTTTTGCTGCATCATCATATGGAAAATGTTCCACATCTCCTTTTCATCAGCTATTCTCATTAGGTTGCTCAAATGCGTATTTGTTTCGTTTTGATCATTTCTACCCACATTTGTTTCATTTTCATTTGTCCGTTTCGGAGTAGAAGATATTGGCTTTGCAAGGTATTTGTCCATCTTACATTTACGAGCAAAAAATTTGAACATCTTACATGAAGAAACCTTACGTACGGTAAACACGTAGTTGCAGAGTTCTGAAAGAGGTTCCGTGGTTCAGAAGGATGGTGTTCTGTTGTTCTTAAAGGTTCTGACAATAAAAGCATTGAACCACTACCGGATTACCCGGATTTTATTCTAAATGGCGCAAATGAGAAATTTTTTTCAAAATGCGAGAAATTCGCAAATTTTGAAATTGGTTTATAGTTTGCGCGAATTTCTCGCGGTAATAATTTTTTAATGCGAGAATATAAAAAAATATGCAAGATTCTCGCATTCTCGCGCTGTAGTGAAAACACTGTATTATAATTAAAGAAATGATTTTTTTTTCCAAGAGTTTTTGTGTTTTTTTAGAAATCTCACTTAACTTTTTGAAATCTCACCCTGTTTTAGAGAAAGGGTGAGAAATTCTCACCCATTTTTTTTCTATGATGAAAACACTGGGCCACATGCCAAAGTATTAAGACAGACATGTTGACAACAATTCTAGATTGTAATTGTTATGTAAACATTATTGTTTTAGGCACTAAATTCTTTTTTTCAGTTAACCATGCAATATATTTGCATAAAATTAAATACTTTTAAATGTATAAAATTAGAAATTGCAAAAGTGATTGCTTAAAAAAATAAACGGAATCAGAATTAATTTATCAGAATTTTTTTTTGATAAATTGAAATAATTAAAAACAATGGGAGAATTCAGTGTTTTTTCATCATATTACATAATAAAAAAAGTCCATTTAACCATAAATTTTAACATTAGAAAATTTGTTCATGGAATTAAATTTTAAAAAAATAAATATTCTAGCAAATACAAGTATTAAAATAAATACAAGTTAAATACTTTAGTTTGAAGAAAGTTTATATGGTTAAAAGTTATTGAATTTAAAACAAAACAAGGTCAGTGTAAAATAAGACTCGGCATTTAGTAGGGAATATTCTTCAACTTTAAAACATTTATTTTCATAAATTATAAGAGAGAGGCTGAGAAAGGAAAGAAAACAAAACATTAATTTTGAAGGAACTATTTTCCTTAATAAAAGAAACTATTAAGATATGTATTTACTACTCTTTATGACCAATACTTTTTTTAAATGTGATACTTAATATTTACAATTAATACACATATATATTAACAATTAATAAAAATTTTCATTATTTTGCAATACTTACCTTGATTCTTTTTTTTTTACAGTTAAAATTTAATGATATACATTTCCTAGCATATAATCATAAATGATATAAAATGATCCATGTAGGTAGAAAATGGTTGTCCTGTAATCTGCAAAATTTTCAAATATTGTGATAATTTTATCTACTTGATCATCTGATAGCTTTTTCGGGCCATTAAATGAAAATTTAAGGATTTTCTTTCAAGACTATTCCTTAATATTGAACATGCTGAATTCATTCTGGAAAAATTCTTTTGACAGAAGATATTGTTATAGGCAGTATTAAACTTTCGGCAAATAACTTAATTAGTTCGGGAATTTGTCCCAGATGGTGTTCTTTTCCTGAGTATTAAATTGTGTGAATACGAAGAGCTATGTGTTATTATTTAAATCACTTGAATATGAATTGCTATGTGTGATTTTTAAATTACGTGAATAAAAAAGTCAATGCATGGTTTTGAGATTGCATAAATACGAATTGAGATGTGTGATTTTTTAATTGCGATGAGCGTAACAACGTGTCATTTTTTAGATGCCAAAATACATATCACGCTCTGTGATTTTAAATCCCGTTAATACCAATTACGATGTATGACTTTTAAACTGCAAGAAGAATCAGAACTTGTGATTTTTTTAAACGTTTAAATATGAATCGCTATATATAAATTTTAAATCATGGCAACGAAAAGGAACAGGTTGGGTATGTGTTCTTGGGACTAAAGAAATATGCATGTTCATTAAATTATTTTTCTGCAAAAGGTACCATGTGTAATATAAATTTACACGTCTTGTTTTTTTATTCTCTCTGGGAAGGTGTCGAATTTTTGCTAAGATATGTAATTACTTTTTAAGTTACAATATTTTTTTTAACAGATTCGAATTTAACGAGTTGTAATATTGTGTATCAGAATATTCAAAATCACAAGTAAAAATCCAGCAATAATGGCCCAAATATGGTATATATATATATATCTGGTAGCAGAATTTACAGAGTCAATCTGCAGAACTATCTTCATAAATTCAAATGTGTGTGAGATCCCAATAGAGTTTGATAGTTGCAATTATTGTAAAAACTGTGTCACTTAATATATATATCGAAATTTGCTTTTGTAAGATAGATTAAAATAATGCCTAACTGTACATAGAGTATCTGCGCTCCTGGAAAGACATTAAAAATCATGGAAAGTCATGATTTTCAGTGATAAATGTTAGAAATTCATGAAAACTTCCAGTTCATCTTGGAATTTGGGTATCAGAGAATGATTATCGTGATTTGATTTGTGCGATTTGAAAATCGCATATCGTAATCCGTATTCGTGCAGCTTGAATGTTTTGTTTAAGATTTAAATTTTTTTTTCCTCGATTTGAATTTTTTTTTTTTTTTGATACATTAAAATATTTTAATAGTACATGAAATGATTTTGCTCCTTTTGTTTCTTTGAAATTAAATTAACAACATTTGATCTTTAAAATTTAGTGAATAAAAGGCATTAATAAGTATTTTTAAATCCATGTTCTTATTCGTATGCTTGTTACTGTTTATTGTTCGGTTATTTTTATTTTATTATTTTTTAAAATGTTGTTTAATAGTTCAGTTATTATTTTATTGCTTCTGTTTAAATTTGCTTATTAAAAAATATGCTAAGCATTGCTCAGATAAAACAATATTGTTTTTAAGAAAGAAAGTTACACTGGATTAGATCTGTTGTCTGTATTGGGTAATAATGTATTAGCCTGCGTAAGTCATTGATTACTGTTTGATAGAAATCATGGATTTGAAAACTAGATTTAGCAGATATCTTCTATACTATGTATTACGAAAATTTTTGAAAATAATAAACATTTTCAAAAATCAAAGTTTCTAAAAATAATTAACTGGAATGTTTGAAAGTCATATTAATTTTTTTAACTTGTATATATCTGATGATTAATATATCAGACTTTAATTGTTTTTGACACTTAAATAAGCTTTTTTTGCTTGTGCGAAAAGGAATAAATCTCTACCTGCTGAGCTACTTTAAACAATTTCTTTCCCCCCTGTTTGAATAAAGTAATAATATTTTACTTGTTTTCACGACATAAAAATCTAGTTATGTTTAATTTCAAGAGATGTATAATAAATTAAAACTTGAGTGTTATGTATTTGTAAAGGAATAACTTTTTCCTAGTGGAAAAGGAACAGATTAAGCCTAATAAAGAAATTATGAGTAAATATTTATATGCAAGAATAAAATTGATAAGTGCTATTTTAATTTTTAATTCTTATGTAGAATAAATAGAAATGGATTATGGATATATATTTTTTTTTTTAAATTATCTATGGTTAAATAAAAATTTGAAGCATCTGTGATACTCTGCAGGCGTTTGTGCTTACTTATATATATTAATAAAATAAACCCCTAAATATGAAGAATACCCCTAAAAACTTAAATGCAGATATTTTAAGGAAATAATGCTCCAAAAAAATTTATGATATGTTTGAAAATACAATTGTCATAAAAATCTGAACTTTACTTATAAATTTCTGGTTTACTCCATTATATTTACTACTATAATATTTTTTTCAACTATGAATAAGACCCTCTTTTTTTAAACAAGGCATATTCAAGTAATCTTCCAAGTGATTTAATATATTATTGGAGGGCTGTTTTATTTTTACTCTGACACAAATTTAAATTGATTGCCTTGTTAAGTGGTCACTTTTTTGTGCTATAGTGAGAGTTCTATTTTTATAATTTACAAATCACTTGTGTCTGTGACATTGTATCAGGTACCTTATTCTGACCATTAAGAAAGCTTCAGATCATTGTTGTACAAACATGAACATATGTTTTTAAGTTTTAATTTTTCAAATATTTGGTGTACTTTATTAGCAGGGTACTACAGGGATTCTGCTAATGCAGAATTGCATCATGAGCATTTTTTTTTTCTTACTACTTCCGTTAACGCTTATTTTTAAATGAAAAATTTCAATCAAACGAGGTTTCACTAAACTTTAAAGTTTTTTTTTATCATTTTAAAACTTCTATATAAATCTTGTAATTTAGATCTTGACTTTGATTTCTTTGTCAGTTCTTGAATTGCATGAATAATTTTAGGTATTAGATGGGTTAAGAATTTACATTTCTGAAAGAAGATTATTTGACCCCTTAGAACCAACTAAAATTTATTGCTGTGGGGATGAACTTGGTTCAGTATTAGGGGTTCAAGAATTTACAATTCATGATGTTAGGTAAGAAATGTATTTTCTGTTATGGATTTTATTTTTATCCTTGTTATTACAATTTGTTGCACATTTTTCAAAGAGGTATATTTTGTATAAAGAATATGTTAAAATGAGATTACTTATTTTGCAATCTATTATTATTCTAAAATAATTCTGTAATCAGGAAATTGCCTGTATAATAAGGCTTATCAAGGCATTTTTTTTTGTTTGCTATTATTACGAAAGCGGACATGTAGGTTGTACAGATATTAAAATATAATTTTAACTTTTCCTGTTGAAAATGATGCAGAATTCTTTTACTTCAACATTCAAATGCAACTTTATTAATCAACATATTTGTGAAACTCTTTTTCAAAGCTTTAAGGCAACTATAATTAGTTATTTCTAGATAGGCATTTTTTTTTTTTTTTAAGCTGTTGAAAATATAAGGATTTCTAACATTTTATGATTTTTGCCATGGCTAGAGGATAAGATTCTTATAAAAGCTATTGTTGGTTATATATTACTGGTAGTAGTTATTATATATTTTGTAAGTTTTTCGCTCCTTGGTAAAAATTTTATCTTTTTACATAAAAAAAATAAATTCGAGTGTTAAAAATTTCTAACAGCTTTCAATCGTTGTATAACTCTAGATCTAAATATTTTGCAGTGGTAATAAGAAAGTTTAAATAATCCCCTAGTATCATGCATTAAAAAAATTACCCAGTTTTTTGTTTTTATTTTTTTTATTAAAATTATATCTTAAGTAATAAAAGTAACAATTTTTGAGAATACCAAAAAAAACAACTTATTAAGAATTATTTTAACCCATATTTTACTAATCTTCCCTTCTGAATAATTTGTCAATTAAAACAAAATCTACTTATAAAAAAATGTCTTTATATAAATAATGTGAACAAACTGCTGTCAGATAAAGTAATTCCTAGTATTTTAAAATCATTAAAAAAAAGTTATCTTGTTTTAACAACAGTAGTGTGTAATAAAATACTTTTACGCAATTACTATATTTCGGTGTTCTCCCTAAACGTTTTTAGAAGGGTGATTCTGAATTATTTTTGAAGTATACACATAAAATTGTATAAGAGTGTAATTTAAAATTTTTTGAGAATCAAATTCAGTTAATACATAATATTACATATTTTGATAAAATTTTACAGTGTTAAATGAGTGCCCTTTCATAACTTATAGTGCCCTTTTCTGAAAAGTAGCACCTTGACCTTTCTTAATTTCTAGGGAGAACTGTGATATATGTATAATATATTTGATCTATGTAGAAAAGTTCTTGCAAATTCTTATACTTACCTAGTTATTTTTTAGGATATAACACTATTACATCCTTAGACTTTTAATCAGATAATATAGATTAACTTCTAAATAAATGAGTGCCTATACACTATAACTCTACTGCATTTATACTCAGTGGCAGACTGCTATTTCATAATCAAGATAGATATCTTGCCAATAAGATTGGCCCACATCTGCCAAGTGATCACCCTTTACATCAAATAGCCAGTCTGCTGCTTCTATTCATACTGCTTAAAATTCTCTCACTGTTTAATAAAATATATTTCATACTAAATGATAATTAAAATGAATTCAGAGAGAATAACTACTGCTTGGCTTGTGAATTTTACGTAAAACCCTTACCTTTATTGTATTATGTGGTTGCATATAAAATAAGTAGAATCATATTAAAATTTGTTGCAATATTTAATGTTTATTTACTACTTTTTTAAAATTTATTAACCCTTTACTTACGGTCTACCTTGTTGTACCAGCACACGTAGTCCGCATGTTGTACCAGCCGTGAGCAAGAGGTTAAATATATTGATTGACAGAGCTGTGAACCGTTTTCACACTTGAAATATTTCATATTAATTCTTGTGTGTATATTATTATTTTTCTACATAATTGAGAGTCTTATATACCTGCTGTTTACTGAACTAAAATATGTGAATTCTGGGATGGTTTCACGCCTTTCAGCAAATCATGCCAGTTGTTTATATTTTAAAGATGTATGCTGTTTTTAGTAATGTTTCTTGTAATTGAATTAAACGAATGACAAATATTGTCATGTTCATTTTCATCTTTGCTGTGCGACAGATAAAGATGCTCATAATTATTTGAAATATTAAATAAATTCGTTCTCATAATTTATTAAAAATTTGACTATCAGCCAATGTGATTATGATAATTCTGCAAAATAATGGACATTTCATTAAAAAAAATTGAAAAATTATTTGCACTTTGATTGCTTATTGCGAACATAAAACCCGAAGCAGAGAAAAATGCAGAAATTTTTTTGCAAAATTTCAAATTGCTTTCTGAGCTCATTTTTTGCATACTGAGCAAAAAAAAAAAAAAAAAAAAGNAAAAAAAAAAAAAAAAAAAAAAAAAAAAAAAGAATTGATTCAGTCTCAGTAAAAAGAAATTTCATAAGTTAACATGCTACTTATTATTTAATAACCTATCTTAAAGGCTCAAATTAATTTAATTTGTTTTGTAAGACCTTTATTTTTATTGCACACTGTTTATAATTTCATGTTCAGGGAGCTCTTTTCTATTCGATTGTTTCCTTATACCGTTAATTCTAAAATCTTCAATTAGTAATAAATTTTGCTTTGTTTATCGTAGCAAAATTTGTGATTAATGAACTTTAATATGAATCTCGTTATATTATATGCAACTAACTTAGTACTGTTCATGTATAAAGTATTAGAATTACTTTACTTTTCTCTCTTTTTTAGGAAACTTTTACAGAAACTTGTAGTTCCTGTCCTTTTTAATAAAAATAATTGTGAGTATATCATGTTCTAAAGTTGAGCCCTCATTGACCCATGCAAGACAAGTTTTAATGGCTTACATTTCATTAATACTTTTTGCACTTTGTGCTTATTTACCCTTACAGTTCATATGTATTTCCCTATAGTGTTAGAAATTGTTTACATATATTTAAAATGATTTTGCTGAATTATATAAAATTATCTTTTAGTTTAATTAATTTTCTTTCTTTGGTAAATGTTTGTAAAATGTTAATATATTACTTATTGTAAATTCACTGAAATTCAAAAGTTTATTTTTTTGTTTTTTCATTTTAATCAAGATATTTGGCTATTTAATTAATTTTTGAAGATACCTGAGACCCTATTTTCTTGATTTAAAAATAATTATATTGTTTTCAACCAATCAACTAACTGTTAAATATTTTATTACCTAGTTTTCATTTTTGAAATTATCAGTCTTATTAGAAATTTCAAAATTAGTACTGCTTTCTGTTTTTATTTTTATTGCTTGTTTTAAATCTAAGTGTGTGTGTGTTTTATTTATTTATTTATTTTTTTCTTCTTCTTCCTTACTAAATTGCTAACTTCATCTTCAGTTTTTTGTTTTTACAATGAATTCTTATTTTTCAATCGACCAAACCGTAGACAAAAGTATTTAAAATCAAAATAAGGCCATCAGTAATAAAGTAATTTTTATATAACTTCAAAAATCTTTTAAAAATATGTAAACAACTTCTATTTTACATTTCTATGTAAACTTATTAGTATATAATCCTAATAATATGTAAATGGGTGGTGGAAGTCAAAATATTAAATATGCACAATTATATTAATGATTATGGTGTGTAGAAAGATGGCGAAACTCAAATTTATTTGCACAATCCCTTCATGTGTTTATTATTTACCTACAAATCAAAGTGTTACAACTTCTTAATATTTAATAGTAACAACTCATTCATGAAAAAACATGTATGAAAGTGGTTCAAAATTGAAACTGATATGTAATAGCAAAATACTGTGCATTTATTTGAAAATTCCATAATTAATCTCAATATTTAAAGCAGATTGCAAAAAGATTATTCGCTATTATTCTTTTTTTTTAGATGCCATAAAAATTAGAGGTAAAACCTGAGCTCTAAAAAAATAAGATATTCGTCTGTGTGTGTGTTTGTTTAAGCCATTTCAAATGAGCATTTCATGTTTCTTTAAGCTTTAATAAAGAATGTTTCTACAAAATTTAATATTAGATACAATATTCAAAATTAGGGAAAGTTGCAGAAATTAGTTTATCAAGCATTCTTAGTAAGTTTCCTACATAACAGAAATTTTCTAAAAAATAAACTCTGATTAAAAAAAATAATATAAATTAGGATTTAGAAAGGCTTCCTTTATTTTAAAATCTAAATATCTTCTTAGTAATTTTTATACAAATTTTGGCAAGAGCAAACAAACTAATGTAGCCTTATTAAGAACAAATTCTGCTACTTTTAAGTAAAGAAGATAATGACAAGAAAAATTCTTGTTTTCAACTGACTTTTTATTATGTTTTTATCCATATAGTCATCATATTTCATATCAAAAATCAAAGCTCTATTATACATTTGACATAAAATGTATTTAGATTAATTCCAATATATTTTAAAAAACAGCAATTGCCATTCTTTTTATAGTTACTTACCCCTTGTTGGTAACATACGTCTTGTAATTAAACTTTTAAAATTTATTATTACTTTTAAAATGTTTTGCTTTTTTTTTTACTTTAAAAAATATATATATATTTTTTAAGTTTTTGTTTCTCTTTTACTATATTGCTCATTATTTTTAACATTTTAAACTGATATTCTACTTTATCTCCACATGACAACAAATTACTTCATTCTATTTGTGTGATAATTAAATTTGCAATTAACTTTCCAATATTTTTTTCTTACTTTCTTTTATTTCCTCGAAGACAGGAAAATTATTATATGATATTACAATTCTGGATTTTGCATTTTAATATTGTCAGGAAAAATTACTATAGATAAAAAGCTCTGTGGCTATGAGAAACAAATCGAAATGTTAGCAACCTTGTATTTTTCTAACCAAATAATTCTGAATATTTTTAGTGTGTGGAATTGATTCTCCAATTTCATATTTTATTAAATTGTTTAATATAAAGTTTTTTATTTTTTTCTTATTTATCAAAATGTTAACACTGAAAGTACAGCGGAATTAGTTTTAGTGTTCTTAAAATGAGTGAAAATTTCTAATAACTTTAAATTGCTTAAAATTGAAAATAGCAATTAAGCAAATCTAAGTATTAAATTTTTATACTTGTACTCTTATATTCTGTTGAACGAAAAATCAAAGTTGTGAATTCAAAAATCAAAATTATATTTTGTTTACATAATAATCTGAAAGGTAATGCAACAGAATATTGCAGTTGATCTATTATGTGTTTATATACTACAGCACTATGAATGTCTGATTATTGTAAAATAGAAAACTTTAAAATTATTTTCAAATGTTACAAAGGAAATACACAGGTAAAATAAATAATTATATAATTTTTATTAATTTTGAAGACATAGCTACAAGCTCTTTGTAAGTGCATCAAAAAGGTATAATTTGTAATTATAATTTATTAACTTTGTATGCTTAAAATTAAAATGGCTCATCCTTTTGCGTATAAATTAAATTTTTCTCCCTTTGATTGCACCAGCAGATTGTTAAAAAAAATTTAAATAGTTATTTTTATTTTTGTTCTTTGAAAGAATTAAAATAAAATGTTATTGCGATCATAGCATTGTGGTGCTTAATATAAGCATCAGAAAACAACAGTTAAGGTTTGAAAAAAAAAATTCTTGCAGCAAATTTATGTAACAATTCAGATTTTTTTTTTAACTATCAAGCTAATTTAGTATACTGTGCATATGCAGATTTTTATACCGTGTATATGTGGGCTAATTGGAAAATCGGGTTCTTTGCAAGCTACTGTCTTAATTTGTTATTGGTGTTATTATAGTGAGCTTTGTAAACATTTTGCAAAATGACGTCATTAGTTTGCAAATAGCCAAATTTTTCAATCATTCTATGACATGTACATATTTATACACAGTATTAAAACTGCCTTATGCATGATTCTGCTTTTCTCATTTATAAATGTTATTTTTTATAAATTTCTGTACATTTTATTTCTACAAATTTTTATTTAAAAGAAAGAAGGGGAATAAAAACAGTTTTATTTGTTTTTGCTTTACAGTCTCTATTGTATTTTGATTACATTTTAATTTAATACTAGATAACCAGAAAATTGCTTCAGTCTTATAACTTATTTCTATCTTGAAATAAATTGAGACTGAAGGCTAAAGCTGATCAATTTATTATTTCACATAAGAACTAATTAACGATAAATATAATGTTGATGTATGAAGATTATATTTTATAAAATTTATTACTATTTTTAGATTAAGTAGCTTGTTTTAATTGAAAAATATTCATTCACTCTACGGTTTGAAATTTTTTAAAATTGCCACTTGCTACTTCTCTAAGATTGTAACCTTTAAATACACTACAGCTCATTCAACTTCTATGTATATGTATTGATAATCTGAATTTACATTGACATATTTTTCTGTATAAAAGCTTGTACTGTAGCCTGTTTAAAATTTAAATAATGAGATATGGGTAGATTAACTAATTTATACTAAGAGGCTAAACTAGTTAAATTCTAGAAATGCCATTTATTAATCATATCAATAGCTTCTATACCACACTGAAAGTGATTTGAAAGGTATGGCTTTAGCTTTTGTTTTTAACTACTCAGATTAATGTTATTTTGAAATTATTAGTGAATATATTGAATCTCTACATTAATAGCATAAAAAAATTTTTACATTAAAATAATTTTCTGTAGACTTGATCTTTTTAGCCTGAAAAAATTTTAAAAATATACTTTCTCTATTATATATGCCCTAGGGCTGTTATTGTATAATTTTTTTTAAATCGTTGTTAGCCTTTTTCTCTTTCATGACTTTGTTGATTTTTAAGCTTTTGAGTTGTAAAATTATACTATCTATTAAATTACATACTCTTTATCAATAATTTTGTTTTCAGAGTTCTGTCTTCCAATAAGTTTCCTATTGATCTTTTAAAATTCCTTTAAAAAAAATTTTTTTTGTTTTTCGTTTCATGCTTTGTTTTTTCAACCTTCTAGTTGCAAAATGATTATAATGTCCAGACATGTAAATTCTTCCGCTAATTCGCAGATTTCTTCAAATCTATAGTTAATATTCCGACAAAATTCTCTCAGAGTTCTGCTTATCTGAAATTAAATTTCGTTACTTAGGCATAATCTTGTTGGTGATACATTTATTCTGCCCTTATCAACTATGGGACACGAGACAGAAAGAAAATTCCATAATAACTTTTGCTAATAGTGTACTGCAGAGGCATATACAAAAGTATAAAATTAATAATCTAAAAGGTAAAAGATGAATTATTTAATCAATGTGATATATTTACCCCCTTTTTTATTTGGTTGCAGTAAAATTGAAATAATTTTTAATGTAATTTTACTATTTTGAATTGCGCATATTAGTAATCGCTTTACAATTTGCTCTATATCTTTATTAATCCGTGTTTTGATATATCTATATATTGCAGTTATTGTTGATTTTAATGATTTTTAAAATCACAATATTATGATACGAGAAATTCTAAACGTGTACCTGAGTATTCACTATTTGTTCATTTTTAATTCTTTAGTTTTTTCTATCAATTTTTGTTTTTGATTTACAAATTTTTTTTTTTTTTAATTTTCTATTTATTTTAAAATGTGATGATTACTGTGAAGAAAGATGATTACATTGTATTTTTTTTTTTTTTTTTTCAAAATACTTTTCTAATTCTTTACTGTGTTGACGAGAAAAAAATTTATTAGTTTAAAAAAATTTTCTATCTCTTTAAAGTTTATAAATGTTAATGTTACTTTTGTACATAAAAATTAGTATTTATCTTCTATGTACAAAAAAAAAAAAAAAAAAATACACTTTGAGGCGAAAAAAAATTGGACAATTTCTTCCTACAATGGCTTGTCTATATTTCTTCTTGTCAGTCTATTTTATATAGTAATTTTTTTCCCCAGTAATAACCTTAAATCTCTTTTTAAAAAAATCAACACTTATTAACTGATGTTATCTTAGTGTCACTATATAATCTATTTAAATTTGGCACCCTTTCTGCCATTTCCTGTTCTATTCTGCCAGTAATTTTATTTCTTCGAGATAAATGTTTTGCTCGCAATTTTTTATCGCAGAGTAAATTATCCTTTAAAAGTTTTGTTTCATAAACACTCAAATTTCACAATTTCCCTGTCTATTACTTAACTTTTCCATGCCTTTTTTTGGTTCCTTAGACGAATGACCTTACACTGAATCATATTTATAGTTAGTTGTTTTGTTTCATTTATTTTTTTCTTTTACTTTGTAGCTGGCCCTGTGTTCAACATACTGCAAATCTCAGTTAGATCCCATTTTATTTTGGTCTTGTGAAGATTTATCACCAGTTTTTCACACAGCGAGAATTAGCTTAAATTTTCATTTGTTATTCTTATCGAACTTCGATTTAATTAGCTCCGATTCACCGATTGAAAACTTAGAAGATCTGCTCGGGAAGAGTCCTGAATATCTGGTTCATTGCGACTCTTCGATTATTTAGTTAGTTTTGAATCCCTGATCAATAATTTAGAAGATCTGTGTAAGTAAACCCCAAAGTGTATGCAAATCCGAAGCATTGCCATTGTTATAGAAATAAACAATTTTCTTTTATTATTTGGCTTTTGTTTTTCGAATCAGTGATTAAATAGGAAGATTTCGAAGATTTGCCTAATAAGAATTTTCAATGTCCAGCATAGTGTTCTAGTTCTGAACAATCGGTAAAATTATCGTTGAAGAATTCACCCCTCACTATCATCTGTGACATATTTTAGAATTCATTTTATTTCTGTTAGTTACCACAGTTGTGTGAATTTTATCAAACCTTTTTCCGTATAAATTTTTTTCTTTCCTTCAGTTCAGTGAATCAGACATATTTGTTTCAAACTGCTGGGGAAGAAAGCAAAAGAGCTATTTCAGTTAACTACATTGTTAGTGGTTTTTCAGTGTTAGTGGTTTCTCAGCAAAACTTTTTGTTTTTCAATAGATTTTTTTTTTATCAACTGTGTCTTCTACATGGTGAAAACTCAAGATGCATTATGTGTTAAAAATGTGATATTTTGATGCACAGTAGGATAAATATTACTTCGTAACTAGCTTACAACTCATAGTGTGTTTGTGATTCTTAAAACTGGCTGTTGATCTCCATGTGATTCTTCACACGCTAAGCTGTTTTGACTTTTGTGAGCTGATGAAGAACTTTGTTTTTCGAAATACTTTAAACTTATTTTATATACCAGCGATAGTTTTTCTAAAGGTAATTGTTTATTAAGGTGAACTGAGTGAATCTGATCCTCTCGTACAATCAATTACATATTGGTTGAAAACTTTTAGTTGGTCAACAGGTCAACTAATAAACAACAAAACTAGTGTCAGTACCATACATACTGTACGTGAAATGAAGTTGAGGGCATATTTTATGAGTAAAGGAATTTGAGTTCTCAAATATGTATGTCAACTTACATAGAAAGGATTGTATGACACCTATGTGAATTTTTTTTTAAATGCCACTTGATGATCGATTGCACACACGATTGTATTTAATCTCGATTTCACTGTGAAGAAAGAAACTTATTTTAAAAATGAATGAAATTTTGCTGTAGAGAACATCCCTGTGGCTCTCCAAAAACCTAATTGTCTGAAACCTATTGAAGTTTTTTTATAAATGTTGGGATATTGCATTGCACTCTGGAATGTTTAGTTTTGATTCAATTTCACCGAAAAAATACATTAACTTCCTGTGAAAAAACTTTAGTTTTCTGCTATGTTGTGTAAACTGAATATTGATTCAAGGCTATACAAGTGTTGAAGTGTATTATTGATTCTTTTCAAGGCTATACAAGTGTTGAAGTGTATGAAAATTATCATTGAAGTAGTTTATATTTAATTTCTTGAAGATATTCCATTGCACATCGGAATATCTACATTTTATTTAAATACATAGAAAGAATAGAATAAGTCAATGCGAAATGTGTTATCTGCTGTTTAAATTAAATATATGTTTCCTTCTTTCAATGTCTTAACAAATATTGTGTGACATTGGATGAATTGCTATTTAGGTTTTTTGAAGATATTCCATTGCACACCGGAATATCTACATTTGCTACAAAACATGCTAGAAGAATAGAATAAGTTGATGTGGGATAAATTTAGTTATCTGCAATATAATCTGAATATTATTTAACATCTTTCAGTGAGATAACTTGTGAAACTTGTTGAAATATTTTGAGCCATTCTATTATTTTCTACGAGATATTCCATTGCACACCGGAATGTCTATTTTTTGGACTTTTGCATTATAAGTTCAGCACTTTATTTACTTATGTGAAGACTGTTTTATCAATGAAGATGCACTTACACTTATAAATAATTTAGTTACTCTTGTGTATATATTTTGTCACGATATTCCATTGCACACCGGAATATCTATTTTTTGGACTTTTGCATTTAAGTTCAGCACTTTATTTACTTCATGTGAAGACTATTAGTCATGAAGATGCACTTACACTTATAAATAATTTAGTTTCTCTTGTGTTTATATTTTGACTAACAAATTGTTTCTGTGATAAAAGCTGTTGAAGTCATGAAAACCATTCCTTCTGTTGGTGAAAATGCTGCGAAGAGAAAAGCTGAAGGTGTGTATTATATAATTACTTTTCTATGAAAACAATATGCATGTTTAATTAATATGCATCTTTAATCATATATAAAAGGATATATTTTTATAAATTATTTTATACAACCAAAAAAATATTTTTACATTTATCTGCTAAAAAGGATAATTTATACTGATATTGCTTGATGTTCAACATAAATATTTAAACAATAAATATAAACTATTAAAACCTTAAATATATTTGAATTATTATTGAAAGTTAATTTGTAATACAATTCCAACCTCCAAAGGTTCCTTGCTGTACCGATGAGTATTAAGACATAGGTCCCTATTCCAAATTAATAAAATTTGTTGCTTAATATAAAAATGAATGTGCCACAAATAATATCGAACAACAAAAATGTAAAATTATTACCAAGAGACAGCCATGTAATATTAATTAGCTCACTATTTATTATCCTATAAGATTTGAAGATATCTGGTTTTCTAGCTGGTCATAATTTTTTTAAAAAAGTTTTGGTGATTTATATGGGTTTTATGGTTTTGGCATACAATATGAATCGCTAGAACATCACAATGTGTTTTTATTTTAGAACAACTTTGATCTATTTTAGTGGTTTCTGCTTTTCCAGAATTGTTGTACACAGAAAAAAGCCAAAAATTTTTTTTTACCTTTTACATAATAAACACCATTTAAATTATGCTTAACAATGATCTGTTGAAATTATTCCATAAACTAAACTGAACTCAGTGGCACGACAGCCCATAGAGGACCAAGGCTTACCATGCCCATCTCAGTTTTCTTGACCTTGGACTCTAGGGTGCAGGAGTAGATGTTTCGGTTTGGTGATCAGCCGAACATGAAACCCCCAGTGTTTAGTTCCCAAGCTTGCTTGGTACTCATTTATCGACCCACTGAAGGGATGAAAGGCTGAGTCAATCTTGCCCGGCCCAAGGATTGAACCCAGGACCTGTGGCTTGAGAGCGCGAAGCGCTGCCACTCAACCACCGGGCGTCTGAAATTATTCCATGGTTGAGAGAAAAAGGTAAAAGTTTACTGATCTTCACTCTGAAGTAAAATTGATGTGAGAAGCATGTAGCCGTTGTTCAGAGGCTGATCCAAATATAAATCCGATAGATGGCTTTTAGTTTTACGAACATATGGCCATTCTTAGGAAGTTGCTGTTATTTATCGGTGGTCGTTTAGAGAGGTTTGGCTGTATATGAATTAATGAATAGTTGTGGCTTACTGATTCGATATTTTAGTAAGTGAAATAAATAAAAAGTAAATGAAAATGAAAAAGTTTCACGTCTACTTTTTATTAATTTTACTTTGCTCTACAAACTTGACTGTTCAACTATATCAGGGATGGCGAATCTTTATGTATCAACGTGCCATTTTTCTTAAAAAAATGTTTAATTAGGTCATAGACGTGCCGTCAAATATTTATTGGGAAAATAATAATACTAAATACTCAAAACTCTTCATTTACTACGAAAAAGAAAACATTTTGCAATGTCTCAGTTATACACGTAATTCAACTTAAATCAGTGTAAATTCTGTTGTTTAGAAGACAAATAACTTATATTAGGGTTGTAAGATGATAGTTTAAGCAGAATGCATGCTGAACTGGAGTCACCTGTCAAACAGTTTCTAAGCGAGTCGTCAATGTTATTCTTCTCTGGAAATAATGACACGCAGGCATGGGTAAATGAAAATATTGTTAAAATAGCACGATTCTTCAATTTCCAACCAATCGAATTGGGACTAGTTCAGTTTATCAAATGAAGTTACATCAGGGTACATAATAAACTTGAGTGTTTCTGATAATTCTTTGAACTGAGTAAATCTCGCTGAAAATTCATTGATTGTAGAATCAATTACAGAAATAAATTCTTCAGTGACTTTCTTCTCCTGGTTTTTCAAGTATATCTAAATCGTTGATATTTCTTTTTAAGTATGAAAAATACTTGGAGTTTCTTGTAATAATATCGTTCCTGAAAATATGCAGTTTAGCGTCAAAAGCGCAAATGAGATCTATCATGATGATAATTGTTTTATTTGTACCTTGAAACTTCACGTTCAATTCATTGAAACGTTGGCATATGTCGTCTGTTAAAAACATCAATTTTGAGAGCCGCATAATATCCAACAACTGTGGGTATTGTTCAATTTTTCCCTCATTTTGCAGAAACAGTCTGATTTCTTCCAAGCAATCAATAAATCTTTGAAGTACGTTACCGCTGCTCAACCAGTGAACATTATTATACATCAGTAAGCCATTATACACCAAGTTGACTTTCTCCAACAAAGCCTCGAACTTTCGCTTATTAACGGTGTTATTATAACGATTCGCTTATTTTGTCAATTTTAATCTAATTGTTAATACGTTTCATAATGAACTTTGTGATCAGTGGCATGCCCAAAATATTCTGTAGCGTGCCATTGGTTCGCCATCTCTGAGCTATATCATCTAGTGGAAAAGCAGTTAAATGTATGATAAAGTTGAGTGACAAATTTTTAAAAATATTATTAGGGTTTTAAAAAGCAAATGCTTTCTGAAAAGGGTCTATAGCAGGGGTGTCAAGCTCGCGGGCCGCATGCGGCCCGAGATCAAAATTTTTGCGGCCCGCGAAATTTTTAAATTCTAATTGGCTTGCGGCACCTGCCATTCCAGGGAACCTGCATCGTATCAAAAATTTCTAATCTTAGAACAGAATTTGAAACAAGGTTTAAAGATTTTAATTCTTTAGAAGAAAAATTTTGTTTGTTTTCTTCAATTTTTCTCAATAAATATAAACTCAGTACCCAGTAATATACAAATGGAAGTGATTGAGATTCAGTGCGACTCAAATTTGAAGGCAAAATTCATTGAAGTGGGTGTGCCTGAATTTTACAAATATTTACCTGCTAATTTTGAAAATACTCGATATTCGCATATGAAATTTTTTTCCATGTTTGGAAGTACTTATCAGTGCGAGCAATTATTTTCTGTTATGAATGGAAATAAATCTTCTGTCTTAAACCGTATTAATAACGCTCACGCTGGGCCAATTTTGAAAGTAGTCTCGGCCAATAAAATTTCTCCCGAATTGGAAAGATAGTAGCAGAGAAGAGATGTCAAATATCAAAGAATAATTTTACTTTATATATGTTTATTGCAAAGTACTATTGAAAATAAAAATATTTGTTTCTATGAACACTGATATTTTTTTTTTTGCGGTCTACCTAAAGTTAAGCATTGTTTATTTGGCCCAAGTTAGCTTTTGAGTTTGACATCCCTGATCTATAGAAAATGCCTTTTTTCTAATAGTGACCTTTCTATTCTAACATGTGGATCGAAAAACACACTAACTATAAACCATTCATTTTCTGATATAACATTTAAATTGGAGGTTTTGCTTTTCAGTATTGATGAGAATGTATTTTCAAAAACAAATTATATTTCTCTTAGTTTCCAATTAATAGGGTTATTATTTAGTTCGATATTGTAACACATGTTGAAATAATATTGTATTAGTTTTTTGAAATTATTATGTTTTTATGCAAAAAGGCAAAGTTCAACGTATAAGAAGAAACTTGCATCAAAATTAAGGAAAGTTGTAACAAAATTTTAAATTAAATGCCTAAGTTGCTAAAAGAAAGCTCATTTTCACTATGTCATGAAATGATTTATTTTCTAATAGAAAATGAGGCCCTTTTTTATGCAACAAATGACTTATTATTACAGAAAAATGGTAGAATATTTTCTGTTGACTTTTAAATAAAATTACATTAGTTATTCAATTTTTTTAGAGTCTCCGGAAGGAGGAACAATTAAAAGAACATGTGAACAGCAACCACCAAGTGAACCAATGTATCTATATATTCCTCCTTCGCCAGCTAAAGAAGAAAGTTCTTCAGAATCTTATTATGAAAGTCTTCATGTAATTATAATTTTTTTTATATATATTTTCTTTTTAAGTAGGGGATTAAGTTTTTTTTTTATATATTTTCTTTTTAAGTATGGAATTAAGTTTTTATTAATATATTTTCTTTTTCATGGGGGGGGGGATTATTTTTTCCTATCTTACCTTGTTTGTTGCGAGTCTTGCACTAGCACTTAACAGTCACTAGAGCAAAATTCCAACATACATGTTATGAAAAAATTCAGGAAAGCCTTAAGATTTCGTAAATGAATTAGGGAATTTTCTGTGATGCAAAATGCTTATTGTCTTGCTTAATGATACATTTATGAGAAAGCTGCCAAAAAATATGGTTTGCACATAGTTTAGTGAAAATTGAAATTAGATTACTTTACACCGAACCATCTGCAGTTTTTTTTTTTTTTTTTTTTTTAAATTGTATTCAAACGAGTATATTTCAGCATTTTTTCAAGAATTGAAAACTTTCTTTAATTTTTTCTGTTCTAATCTTAGCACGACATTATAAGGAAGCATATCTTATATACTTTATTTTTATTGTCACAGTTTTTCTTTACGGTAAGACCGGTAACCTAGAGTAGTGTGATTTTCAATGTTAAAGTTACATTTCAGAAAAATTTTCTGTTCCCTTTGTCTTATTATCCTTTTCAGTCACATTTATATTTTGACAATTTATTATTTCTCATCAGAGTTGGTATGGTTAAAATCACTTAATTTTTTTTAATGAAGATAATTTATTAATGGTTTCTTAGAGTTGCGGTTTTATTTATGATTCTAAACCTCTAAAAACCAAGCTGATAACGAGAAAAGTTTTTTCCAAATTCAATATTGATTTCATAGAAGAAAAAGAAGAGAATCTTACGTTTGTGATAATCTGAGTCATTCAATCGTTCGCTATTTCTACATTTTTATTTTTTTTATTTTTAAGAAATGTAAATGATTTTACAACATGTGTAGTTCAAATTTGAACCATCCTTTTCTATTCACTTAATTTGGGATGATTCTATCTTAAATCCACCTAGTTTGCTGCTGCTTTTTTTTTTTTTTTTCTTTTTTTGCTGGAGCCTTTTTTTTCTAATACTGAAATTTTTAATTTGTTACTACTGTATGGGAATTTCAAATTCACTTTTTTGCATGCTTGTTTGCAACAATTTCATTTTACATTCATATTTCGCATTTATTATTATTTGCCAACATTTCCTCATATTTTTTCTAATGCTGATGTTGTTACAACCCACATGTTTCACATATTGAAGTATCACTCTTAACCACTCTGTTTGGTAATGGTTCCCTCATATATTTACGTCATTTTTAGATCGTTTTTCCTTTGTTATTTTAACATGATTTTTCCAATTATGATATTAATAGTACAATGTTATTACGACACACAAATTTCAAATTTGAGTCATCACTTTTTGAAGCTATTAAAAAGAGAAAAAAATTTCATGACTTGGCTTAAAAAATAGCTTTCTTTGGGTCTTTCGTGACCCTTTATGGAATTTGTGACTTTCACCATTTTCATTGTGATGTATATTTATGTTAAATTGCTGAAAATACCATCAGGCATCTGCACATGTTTATTTAATTGTCACATAAATAACACCCGCTCAGCGCCAATAGAACTTTGATGATTCTAATTCTATTGATTTAAGTAATATAACTAAAATCTAAAACATTCGAAAATCTAGACCTTCTGAACCTTCGAGCAGTCCAGATTGTTAGATCATACTGTATATATGTATGTGCATATAGTATTGATGTAAAGAACATACCCTCTTCCTGTTTTATTGTTATTGTTTTTATATAAAAATGTTTTTTATAAATTATTTCCAATTTTTTTTTCTTTCATAGGGTTATGAAACAGCATTTGCAAAAGATACTAGTGATGATTACTATGAAGATTCTGAAAATGATTTGTTACCTGGAGATATTCTTGCAATTGAAGAAACTTTTGATGTTGAATATGAAGTTGACAGTGACTCTGATGAGGATACCAAAATTTTCATGTCAGACAGTGGCAGTGACTCTGAGGTAGTGTTAGTTTGAATCGTTTAAAAGAAATATCATAACCATTCGATTTTTTACGGGGGGGGGGGGNNGGGGGGGGGGGGAGTAAGACTGAAAAAAAATGTCCATTTTTCTTAATATTACTTGTGTGATAATTTTGGACCACCTTTCTTCTTTAAAATGTACAGAAAACATCTATTTCTAAATGTGAATTTCAGTGATAGTTGATAACTCTAAATCTCCTTAAGAAAAATATAAATTTGTGCTCAAAATTAGTTTAAATATCCAATCTAAATCAATTTAATAGTTGCACCATTTCAATAATGAGCATACAGGGAAAAGTGGATCTAAACATTTTTAGCGCAATCACAATTGTATAAGTGTTTACAGAAGTTATAGATTTCATAAAAATGCTAATATTAATGTACCTTTACATTGATCAGTACTTTTTATTGCAACTGTCTCCTTTATTACCTCAATTTTATTTAGATGATTGCTTTTAAAAGACCTTGATTTTTGTGAAAAATGTCATTAACCTATTTTTGATTTAACTGTTTAATGTTTGGATTGTTTTTATTTTTAGGGTGCTGTGAATACAGTAATTACCTTTGTTTGCAAATCTGACAGCGATCAGGAGTTCTGGGCAGATAAAAGTTCAGATGAAGAATTTGATTCCGATTTAGAGATACGAGACTCTGTAAGTTGCTTCTTTTGTTCATTATTTTCTGTTTTTTATCATAGCTTACTAAAAAACTTATTGACAAGCATTTAAAATCAACCTTTTGCATTTGAATAAGGGATGATTGTGTTCCTTCAATTCAGATTCTTACTTCATGCCAAATTTTTGTTAAACAAGCTTATGCAAAGCTGCCAACCCTTCCGCATTTTGCAGAAGCTTTCTGCATTTGTACTTATTTTAGTTATTCGTAATAAATCACTATCGATTTGATATTCTCCGTTCGACGAAGGGGACACACGTGAAAGTTCATTGACAAGGGTCATGAAACTTTTTGAGTCTAACCATTTATGTTATTAATTTTAATCTATCTTTTTTATTTTATGAGTTATTAAACATCAAAGTGGGGTCCGGGACTTTAGTAACACCCTGTATATATATATATTTGCTAAATCGATTATTGCTAAAAGATAAAATTATGTGAAAGAAAATTAATAGAAAGAGTGTGTGTGTGTGTTTTTTTTTTAACCAAAAATTATTTTTCTGCATTTAAAAGCTTTTAATGTTCTTCAAATATACTAATTTTATCTATAAGAATTTAATACTAGAACACTAACGTTTGTTTACAAAATATCAAATTGGCCTCAACTTGACTAAATGGATCATGGTATGTTACAATGAAGTCATTTAATAAAATTTTAGTCATATTAATGATAATTTTTTTTTAGGCAACTATTTTCATGTATTAGGCTGCTGAAACAGATATTTTGTTAATTTTTTTCTGTGGCAACCCTGTAATAGCTTTTAATAATTTTTAAAAAATTTCCAATTTTAGTGGCCAATAAAATTTAATATTTCTTTGCCTTTTCCTCTTTTATAATAGTTACTTCCTGCTTTAAAATACACTTTAAATTCACTAGTTGAGTAAATACTTAAGCTAAATATTGGTTGTTTGTTATTTTACACATTGAGATTTTTTAAGTTGGCAGGTATGAGTTTTTCTCTCATCTCATTCTATATACTCTCCTATCTGAGTCTAGATATGTGGATGTTTTGAAACAAAACTAAAAGAGTGAAAGAAACGTAAGGTTTTTATATATCCTCTTCTGTCCACAATGCTCAATACTCATTCCAAATTGCCAACTCATCCTAATTTCTTCCCACCCGCTCGATAACTTGTATTTTCTTTACTTTAGACGTCGCTGTTCCTCTTGTAACAGCTTTGGGCGCTTGCTTGCTGTGGTCCTCCCCTTAAGGTGAAACACAATGAATTTCTCCTCTCATCTATCAGTGAGGGAAGGAATTCAACTTTTGCAAGAGCGCTCCCCTTTATTAGGTAACTTCCTGTTTGCCGACAGATGTTGGCAAAAAGTGGCGTGTGTACAAAAGAGACTGAAAGAAAATTGGAATTATTTATGTTTAAAACTGAAGGCACTTTAAAATGTAAACCAAGCATATATCAGTAAGATTATAATCAAAAAATGAAATATAAAATAATGTAGCTGGACTTTTTAAAAAAAAGTTTTACAATTTCTTTCCTCAAATTAAAACCTGCAAGTTAGACTTCTGTTTCTTAAAATTATAACCCTAGATATTTTAAAAGTTAAATAGTTTAGTATTTTTACTTAAGCACTTTTTTTTTATTGTATTAGGATAAATGGAACTGTAAGAGGTGTGGAAGTTCCAACAATCCACCAATGCGATATTGTATTAAATGTTGGTCTATGAGATCTGGCTGGGTAGTGCCAAAACGAAATGAGCAAAGAGATCATCCTCGACGTAAGCCAAGGTCAAAGAAAAATAAAAAAAATGATAAACCTATCGGTGACACAAGAAAGGTAAGCTTAGAAGTCATTATTACCTAATGTTTGTTTATTGTAAACTTGATATTAACTATGAAACTCAAATTTGTTATTTTAAATATTCTACCTTTTTTTTTTTTCCCCGAGTGTTGAAATGTATAAAAATATCAGGAAAATGTGTTCCTAAATCCTTTTGTTACTGTTAAATCAATTTTAACTGTATAAATTATAACTGTGATAATAGATTAAGTAATACTTGTTTTCATTTTTAATCTCATAGAAAATCTTAGAAAGAATAATTGAAATCATTCTTAGTTAATAAATATAAAATTCATTGTAATGAAACCTGTAGTATTTGCAATTCCTTAACGGTAGTAATTCTCTTCCCAATTTATCAGAAAACATTATTTTTCAGTTATGTGCTGTCACACAACACCTGACCCTGTCCAGGCATTTAGTTTCATTTTTCATGGCTGTAGTAGAAATGTCAATCAATTTTGACTCCCATCAAACAGCGTGAACAGCACCTAAGCTGTTCCCCTTCAAAATTTCTACAATGAAATAATAAAAGAACTTTTAGCCCCAACAAATTTAATGTGTATTTCGCTGCGTATGCTCACTGGCTATTTAGTTTGAGCAATGTTCTAACTGATTGTCCAACCTGTGAATGCCTGTTGCTTACATAACAACCATGCATGACTCTGCAACTATACTCCACAAGGAGCATCTTTTGGTTTAATACAGTCGTTATGAAAAAAAAGCATTATCTGTGAACTTTTCTTTTTGCTAAAAATAATATATAGCAGTTGACATTAAATCGTACATACAAACAGCATCTAATATCAAAGAAAGATAGAATTCATGAACATTTATTAATGTAGTTTTAAATACCTTCTGTAATTTAGTGGTAATTGATAATATACTTTATTTTGTTAATTTTAATATTCTTGTTAAACTGTGTGAATTATTCTGATTTTTATAACTTGGATATTTTTACTTTACTTCTTTGGATTCTCCATACTCATTTAGTGTAACTATTTTAACCCTTTAACTGATTTGTTGCTGGAGCAACTTTGCGCAAAAAGTATTCTTACCAAGCATAGTATTTCCATTAAATGACATGTGCGGTGGCTGTTTTTCTGTGTAGACTAAGCAAAACTGACCATAACAGTAACCGAGTTCAGGGCTGACAGTTAAAGGGTTAAAATTATCAATCTTAAACAGTAAAATATACAACTGTTTCTTTTTCTCCAAAAGGAATCCTCTTGCAGCCCAAAGCCTGCTTCAAGCTTGTCCTCCAGTAGTGCTCCTGAACTGCCAAGCACTAGCATGTCGCCAGCGAACGATGCGTGCGCCGACACCAATGCGTGCCAAGAGCAATTGCCAAGCGTTTCGTCTGATATCAGTTCTGTGGATTTACAGAGTCTTTCCTCCAATAGCATGCAAGAATTCCCGTTTACCTGCCTTGCGCCAAATTATACTCAAAAGTATTATAGCAATTTTTCATCAGAGCTGAGCAGTTCTTCTCAAGAGCTGTCCACTTTGTCTTCTAACAGCAGTTCACAGGAGTTTCCAAGCTCATCAGCGTACAGTTCGCAAGAGAGTTCAAGCTTATCGTCAAATTCTTTAGATGTACCTTGTACTTCTAAAGAAGTTATTAATTCTTTAAGCACTTTTAGGACGCTTAATCTTTCTACTGTTCCAAAATGCGAGGCAGACTCAAAATTATGCTTACTTTGCTGCTCGAGACCTGCAAATGCGTCAATAATTCATGGGAAGTATGCGCATCAAATAAGTTGCTATCGTTGTGCAAAAAAATTACAACATGAAAATAAAAGGTGCCCCGTGTGCCGTAGGACGATTGATCGAGTTGTATATCAAATAACTGCTGTATAATTTATGATAGTTATATCATTGAAAGGATTTAATATTCCTTTTATAAAGGAACTAACTTTTCAAAGGTTTATTACTTTATCCTTTTTTTTTTTCAAAAATGACATAGTTAATGTTTACATAATTTATTTTAGCTTTTTATTTTGTTGCAGTTCTGGTCAAAAAGTGGTTCAATTGTATTATAAAACTATATTTATTTCTGATACTTTTTATATTTTCTGCAGTGCTTGTATGATATTGTGACATGACCTTTTTAAGGAATTTTAAAAGTTTGAATTCAGTTAGATTCATATTTCTTTTGTCTCCCCCTTTTTTATACATATAAATTCAAATATTTTCAAAATATAACTTTTTCCTAATATTAAATGTCGTCATCATATGATGGATGGTTTTTTTTTCCTTATACTTAATAAATTTGTCAACCTTCTGATGCTTCTATGAAATCAAGATAGAATTTTTTTGGTTTTATTACATATTAGCTAAAGCCCAGATTTTACTGTTCCAGAACACAGCAAAAAAAAAAAATGCCCTAGGGAATTTTAATCTAAAGCATCACTTCTATCTTAATTGTATTGAAAAATGCCACTAGAAGATGAAGTGCATTTTTTCAAAAACAGTTTCAAGAAGTTTTCTAAAAGAAAAAGAAGTGTTCGAAAATGCCCATGTTGCCCGAGTCTTAGTTTTACCATTATATATATGATTTCCTAGAAAACTGAGCTGTGTAGTGCACAATTAGGGTTAAATTAAAATAAGTTTATCTCAAATTATTAAAATGAAAGTATTTATTGCATTTGATGGAAAATGTTTAATGTTATTTTATTTACTTTTTTTTTTCGAACATGACTGATTGAGTTATATATTTTTGTAACATCACCTTATAATTGCTGCTCCGTTTTAAAATGTGCTGCTCTTAAATTTATGTGATAATCTAAATTGGATTTATAACTGTTATATGTGATTCCTTTTCAGATTTTCATCTTTAATCCATTTATATGCTGCTTATCATTTTTTTTTTCGTTTAAAATTAAATATTTGTTTTTCCTTGGCAATAAGATAATGCCAAGAATCAAAACTAAAATTTTATTATTATTAACTTTTACAGAAGAATTTCATCAATTTGTTTGTGTTATTGTGTTTTTATTTGTTTGCCTTTTAGTGGAATTATAATTTTAAAAAGGGGAAATTTTAATTATTTTTCTAATAACTGCCTCATTTCAGCAGCCAATTCAATTGTGTTGTATATTATATCAAGCAGCAAAATATATATATAAATGCTAAAATATATTTCGTTATTCCAAATATTTACTTATAGTAGTAAAAAAGGGATAATATCTTGATTATTAAACTTATTATTTAACTTTATTTTAACTTATAAATTTTTTTTTATCTGCATACCTCAAAAAATGATCCGAAATATGTGCAACCATTGACTTCTTGTTTGGACAAAATTACATTTTGCTCTATTTATGTAGAGCTATTTTTTGACGAAACTAAAAATAATTGGGCTCTGAAATTCTTATAATTTTATTCTCTCTTAAAGCATTTTTGGCTGTAAAAATATCTAGCAAATTTAAACCAATTTATTATTGTATTTACCATGTTATTTTATTATTATTATTTTTTACCATTGAGTTATAAAATTTTAAAATTATATAAAATTAAAAAGTGTTATAAAATTTCATACCTTAATATTTATGATACATAGTTAAATGAGTGTATGTTAAAACTAATTTTGTATAACATCCAAAATTGAGAAAATATAATTTAAATGCTGGCATGAAAATATATTAAGCAAAACCAGTATTTCACAAAATTTTATTGTTTTAAAATGAATCTTCATAAAATATAATTTTAATGCTATCCTTAAATTAATTTAATTAGATTACTTATCTGATAATTTTGAAGAGCTTATAATTAAAATTAGAAATATTAATTAAGTGATAAAAGAAAGTAAAATTCTTCTTTAAGTAAAGGATAAATATAAATTTTAGAAAATAATGAAGTTTTTTGAAAATGAAAAAAAATTTATAGGTTATTTATTTACTCTGATTCTAAAGCACTTCGTATCCGGCTTATAAAATGGTGGTGTGGTGGTCTTACTTTGCAACTAACCAGTTGGGAGGACTTTCAGTTATTGTTTTTTATCAAGGTTGATGATAATCATTTATTAAACCTAAAATGAAACAATTTTTTTCATAAAATTAAAAAAATTTATTCACGCAGTCAAACCCTGTACTTTAAATTAAATGTAATAGACATTCTTTATAGACATATGTATGCTATCTTAACTTTGCTGTATAGAGATAAAAACTTATATGCACACATTTCAATATCTTGCACTGATGAATTTACATCATTATACTATTTTTGCGTTTTTTCTGTTTGGTTCGCATATCTGAAGTAGAATTCAAATGGTGGAGACTAGCTGTAGTTGTCACAAAACTACATTTTTTAAAAAATATATGTAATATTTATTATTACTTTTTTTAAAAAATTTACACACGTTTATATTTCAATTTAACTATATGCTTGTTTTCTTTCTATTTTTATTTATTTATCTTGTTGATCTCTTAAAGATATATTCTTATTCTGATGGCTAGGTAGTGAAAAAAGTTTTTCAATTATAACTAATTGCTTTGTTGACCAGTTTGAAGCAGTACAATTAGTTATCAGTGGTGCATAATTAGGATGGTTAGAAGTAAGTTTGCTTGCAATGACTCTACTTAATCGAAAAGTATGCTAATTTCAGGCTCTTTCTTGCAATAAGCCTTAAACAACACGTTTACTGAGTCACTAAGGATCTTTGCTATATTTCATTATCTACAGCTTAAAGCTAAGTGAAGAATTAACAAATGTCATATGATGGCTTTTCTTTAAAATTTTGAATGGACCTTGTTCATTGCATAAGCCTATAAGTTATGTCATTAAAACTCATGAATTCAGAAACTTTTGAGATGATACATCTCATAAAAAATCAAGAAATAGATTTGTGACAACTAGCTCCTGTTTTACTTCTATACTTAAAAATGTTTCTTTCCCTTACAACTTTCAAAAATGTTTCATATTAATAACCAATACTCAATGTATTAAAAATACCTTGACTTTAGGTCTCGGTTACATTTCAAAACTGAGTATATATCAAGTAGTAATTTAAAATATTGGTAGTTGAGTGGTAATTTAAAATTAAGTTACAGTTTAATGGTAAAGACATCAAGGCTAGTGATATATAAACTGCTGTAGATATATAACAAGCTAATTCTAGGCAAGCATGCCACAATGTTATGATGGCCTGATTAACTTACTTTTTTAATGTATTCAGTTTGTAGAAACATTTAATTTTGTTACTTTGCTTTGAGTACATTATCTTATTTGTGTTTGGCAAGTAATAACTACTTCTGGCTCTTGTGCTATTAAATTCTGTATTCAAATTAGTCATGAGTAAACTAGATACTAATTTTATGTAAGTTAGAAAATTAAACTGCTGTATGAACTTGAGCCAACTGTGCAGGTTTAAATTCAACCCTCCACTCATTCATAATCAAACTGACTGATCCCTACACCACCATGCATATTATTTATTTTTTTAATAGGTTTACCAAATATTTTTAAATACCCAGTAAAAGTCTATAAGAATCTCAACTTTATAATACTGCTCATCAACCGTATTTAAAAAAAAAAAAAAAAAATTAAAATGTAGATAAAAATAAAGAATTGTCTGATTTTATTTTAAATTAAAATAAATCAGTTAATCAATTCAAAAAAATTATCAAAAAAATTCATATGTTGTGCAATATGCTGATGTTTTAAATTCTTTAAAAAAAAATTTAATCTGCACTATTCAAAAAGGCTCCTCAATAGAGTCATCAAAATATGTAGCCTTATCCTGGAGTGCAGAATACTGCAAAGCGAATAGTCCAGTAGCTGATAAAATCACAAAATTTCCAGTTTGAATCTGCTCTCAATTTTTTGAACCCTGGAAAAACGTACCTTGACCAGCCAGCTACTCCAGTTTGTAACGGAATCATGATTAGTAATTTTTAAGCTAAGTAACTAAAAATGTACAGATAAAGAATTGTGAAAAAATTTATTTGATTCTCAAAATTAACAAACTAATAATCAAAACTTTTAAGTTGTAATGTTCTGATGCTACTGTATCTTTTAGTATTTATGCCTCTATTGAAAAAAATTCTATTACTTTAGTTCTTATAATTTAATATTTTAAAAAAAATTTCAAAATACAAATGAAATAAAACGTAAACAAAAAGAATTTCCATACAATAGAATTTCAAAAATATTTTATGCCTTCAATATTTCTCAGACTAGTTTTTTTCCCAAGCATGTAAAATTGTACTTTAATTGTATAAAAGTAACAAAGGTTTGATTTAATTCCTATAATTCTGAAAACTAAAAATAAATAACACTCTATTATGTTGTCTCATTGTTTTTGTTATTATAATGCAATTGTTTTCTGACAGGATGAAGAAATTTTTGTTTGACATTTAATTTAGCTTAGTTGTATTTTCTTTTCAGAAACTTATTTAAATCCACAATTCCATAAAAGACTGTTGTCTTTACCCAATATGTCTATTCTTATATAATGTACCCATTGTTTGCATTTAGATAAACATAAGAAAAAATGTTCACTCAACAAAACTAAGCTTAAGTGCAAAACAACATGAATAAAGTACTAACTGGACATGCCATAAGAAAATGGCTCTCCAGTATATAAGGATGTTTGTCTTTAAAAAAAAAAAAGGAAAAAATGTCAGCAATGGTTTGCTAAATTTTCAGTTTAGAAATTTCAACCTTCAAAAATTGTTGGAGCAGATTATCAATTTAAAAAGAGGATTTACTAAAACTTTGTTGTTGATAGAGATACGCTAATGAAAGTTTCTACTTTTAAATCGTATGTGGAAAAGGTCCTCATTAAAAGGAAAAGAAAAAAATAATGGTGATTTTTATTACAAAGTAACATAAGACCATTTCCTTGAAAATATTACTGCCCAAAATTTCTGGATTCGAGGTGAAACTTCTTAACCTGTTGAATTTGTGCCAAATTATAAATTATTGCAAAACGATTTTTTTTTTAAACAAACTGAACAAGTTGAATTTGAGTCTTATCCTTGTTAGTTTTAGATATATGATTTTGAAAATGTAGTATCAAGTGCTTTTAATGACAATGGTAATTGTGTTGGATTAAGGTCCTGGTATGTTTAGTGTATAATAAGAGCATTAAGCTAGAAAAAAAAAAAAGAAACATCAACTTTTATATTATAAAAAATGAAGAATTATGCAGAAATCTACATACTGAATTTCCTTTATGAATATTTTATGATTGCTAATGGATTCTGTTTAAATATGACTTTATGTTTACATATTAATCTAAATAATGTTGATCAAGACCAAATCGCTGTTTTAGATTGCTCAAATCTGTAAGTATTGTTGAAAGCAGAACATGTGAGCATCAGGTCCATACTTGAGTATATTCACATTCTGAGTTCCTTCACAAGTTAAACTAACTATGGATGCTTTCTAAAAACATACGTGACTGGGCCTTTTTTATTAACAAAATTGGTTGACACCTCTATATAAACTTTTTATTTCTATCCTCGATCAGACATCAAACCCACGAAGTTAATAGTGGTATATTGACGAATAAAAAAAGTTTAAGCCGGGAGGTTCCCGTTACTATTGAAGTTTAAAGACATCTGAATCTAGATCTGAATCGAAGATGATCTATGACGTTTTTTTTTTCATTGAAATATTTTATTCGCTTGAATGGTAAGATTACATATGGATATTTTGTAATTGCAATGCGATGTTCAGTTTGTTTTGTTGGTTTTTATAAAACTTTTTAATACCTTCTGACTCGTTTTATGATGTGAGTGAGAGTAAAAAAAGATGGAAATTAATTGATACTCCAATCGACGTTTCTAGATTTCATACCCACGAGTTTAGCCAATTTTAATATTGTGTATTATTGCTAACAGTTTGAGAACCGCCGCAAGTGTTCTGGATTTTCAAAATGAAACATTTCCTTTTTTTTTGTCACACCTTAAACCACAGTTATTTCTGAATCCTCCACTCGTGTTCAGTCCAACCAATTACTGTTTTTTTCCTCCATCCACATATTTAATATCTTCGGGAGTGTAGGGGTATCAGAGATTTTTAACTGTAGCCTGAAAATGCACTCTATACCCTGTTCTTTACACAAGATTGAATTTTCTTGCTGAAACTGGAATGGACATTTCAGGGCTATCGGAAAGTTATTTCAAGAATATTTATTTTTATGAACTTAATAAATGGCACCGTGCAAGCGAAACTACCTAATTTGGATTTTTAACTAAAAACATCATTTTTTCTGAAGTTCCGTAGTTGCCTCAGTAGATTAACCTATCATTGGAGTTTATTTATTTAGCCCTGTTAACTTACTGATTGAAATATGCAAGAAGTCCTTGATTGATAACAGCTCTTAGTTTATGAACAAACATTTTAAATTCGAGAGCTTCATTATTATACAGATAATCAAGTTTTTCATAGTATTAATACCAGTGGGCCTAACATATTAGGCAAAGAAGATTGATCTGATTTTTAGATTTATGTTATCTGGAGGCATTCGATTCTATGGTTAGTATGGGGAAAAGAAACCTTGTGACAATTGTAGGAGACTAAACGCTTTCATACTTCCTTGTCCATACCCTAAGAGCAAAAAGCTGTTTTCAACTTTGTATCTTTTACTAGCATACTATCAAATTCTTCGCTATCATAGTCACTTGTCAAAAATTAGCGTAACAACAGGGTTTAGAGTATTTAGATTCCCAAAAATGTCGTGCAAGCTCAGAAAGATCGAACAAACCTTTTTATAGGAATGTCCATCTGGTTTTGCATGGACTAAGCTTTTGTTCTCCCTACCAGATTTGCCTTTTGATTGCTTCTGCAACTGAAGAGCATTTGTCAAATTGCAAGAATTTTTCTAGAGTGCCTCATAATTACTCATGGTGTAAAATTCAAGCAAAATTAGGTATTTATAGATGAAGATTAACAATGATAATCAATAGACTAAATCAACTTTAGGAAGTTGTTTATTACTATAAAAAAAAATTGTAGTTCAGTGTTAAATTACACGATGACTTAAGCAAAGTTTAAAACCAAAAAATTTTTTAAAGAAAATAAATTATGCCAAGTAATAAGGTTAAAGGTAAGGAAATGTGCCTTGCACATTTCTTTATTGTTTAAGAGTTAGGTGGAGATATTTCAATAAACATTATAATTGTGTTTAAGTTATTTTGAACCTGTACAACACTAAATAGGGAGAAAATATATCTAACATTGTTCTATAAAGAAATAAAATATGAAAATCTCTTAAAATAGGTTCTCAGGAGTATAATTGCAAGTTACATGTATCATGCAGTTAATGTTAACGAGCACTAATTTTTGTAAACTCACTGATTTCAGGAAAATGCTATGGGTTTTTAAAAGTCAACTGTCCCTCATCTTAAAGAGATAGAATGCTAATGTTCAGTATCTTCAGGTTAAATGTTACTAGATCAAAAAAAGTAAGTGATGGAAAAAATTATAAACTTAATTGCAACTAACTTTTTTTTTACCAATTAGCTTGGTTTTGATGCAGATTTCTCCATTAGAATTGTTCCTCTTCTTAAATACAGCTTTCATCATAATTTCTTAAAGGGAACGTTTTAAGTAGATTCATGGCTAAACTGGTAGGTATCAATTTTTTATAAATTTAAATTACACACCTTTACAATAAAGAAGAGATACTTTCAGTTTTTGACTTTTATACTTAGATAATTATGTTATAACTGAAGAGATGGTTAGATCGTTCGAATTTTCATACTTAACAATCAATTTTAAAATTTCAAGGGACCGGTGATAAATTACCAATGCAAACAAGTATTTGTGAACTCCCTGTGTCAGAAAATGTAGCAATAAGGGTGTAACTTGCATCAAATATTTTGGTTGTTATTTGAATGATTCATGAAATTTCATTAACTTACCATAAATGTTTATGAAGATATAAGACATTTTTATAACGTACTAATTAATCACATTTTTTTTTTTTTTTTGCTGTAACTTTAGTAATATTTAACAAATTAAGCAAAATCATTCGAGCAATTTTCAATTGATAATTAATTTATCATTTTAAAACAGAATTCTTTAAAAATTGCACAAGAAAAGTATCAAGCAAAAGAAATATCTAAATGTTAAGAGGTTTTCCACTAATTTCATTTTGTATTATAAAACAGAATTTAATAGCAAATGATATTACCTTACGATGATCGTTCTCGCACTTAAGGGGTCATACGAAACAGGGCCGGATTTAAGCTTGGCGGGGCCCTAAGCTACTGAAAATGATGGGGCCCTTTTAAGTTCAATTCTATTTCTATACACCTAAAGTAAACTGTCGTATTTTTTATTGCTGAATATTAACATTATATTATTAAAAATTTGATAATATTGCTTGATTGTTAAATATATTGATTGTGATGGGACTATAATGTAGAGCCTTTCTATTATTACACATATTTTTTGAACGAGGAAAAAAACAGAAACTCATTTTAAGAACATCATAAGCACAGAGTAAAGATTTGGTATGTTAGAAGAACCATTATATGTTTAACAGAGTTTTTTTTTTTGAAATTCTGAATCTATGTTATTTGAAATTTTAAATGAATTTTTTTTTTTTTTGCAATTTTTTTTTTTTAAATTGTTTCTTTTTTAAACGTTACATTTCGCTTTGCTGCTCTATGACTTAGAAACATGAAATTATGAAGGTGTGTCAAGAATAAGCAAGGAGTTAGAAAGAACAGAAGAAAATACAATTTGATTATTAGTTCTATTTTTTTTCATAACCGCCGTTGAACAACCGACTTAATTTGAGCTTACGACTACAAATGTTTAACTCCGTATAATATTGAATAATCACCTTATAATTTTGAACTCAATCCAGAAGACAAGAGAATTGAATCAGTACCCAGAGGTATTGATTTGTGGTGAGAACTTAGAGGACATTGTGACCACGGCAGATTTAACATGCACCAGTCACCATTTTATGCATGGGTATTCTTCGGCCGGCTGGATTCGAAATCCCATTCTCACAAACACGAGTTCAACGCCCTGCCAACCAGGCTATCCCGGCCAAATTATTAGTTTATTTTATAATAGTCATTGAACAGCCAACCCAATTTCGAGTTTACGACTACTAATGTTCAACTTATTAGACTTCTAATTTTAAACTCAATTCAGAACACAAGGGAACTCCAGGATCAAGTATTGGAAGAAATTTTTGTCTTGGAGGGGGACGTTTTGATGGAACTGACCAGCATTTAAGTTACATGATGAGGAAAACCACAAAAGCTTTCCACTGTCAGTCTGACAACAAGGGGACCTATGATCCGTCTACCACTGAG